CGTTCATACGACTCCCTAGCTAGAAGATCAACTACAAAGGATTACTGGAAGCAAGTACTCCCACTTGTCGACCATTGTGCATGAGCTTTGAAATTTAAATCCTCTGTCAACCACTCTAGAGCGGTTTGATTCAATTCGATTCGACTTTTTTGGTTTAGCCACCCCCAAACTTGTTCTCGATATTTTTATGTCAATCTATAAGGTTTTGAGCATGTTTTTTCATTTTTTGAGGTTAGCTTGGTTGAGTTATTCTATACTCACTTTTAAAGTAGATTGATAACTTGGACAAGTGAATTAACGTCTATTTATGCATTCAACTAAAAGTTATTTAGTTTAAAATGTCTGTTGAAATATTTTAATTGGATGGATGAAAGAGAAAATGAATGTAATGCTAGTAGTTTTGGGTCATTGCACTAAAAGGCTTTAATGATGCTTATGGACATTGGTCGTATGCTTCCTAACCCTCATTCAACTTGTAATATTTTTACATGGAAATTTGCTGCATGCAAAAACTAATTACGTAGCTTTTGTAGAGAGAGAAATTAAGAGAGAGAGAGAGAGCACGGAAATAGAGCATAACCCTGTAAAGCTCTTTGTTTCTGTGCTTCGGTAAAATTTTGAGAAGATGATGCAAGAAAAAGGGCTGCAATTTCATTCATGTTTGCATGGCTTAAATAAACCAATTTACAATCACAGATCCTGTTTTTTCGTGCAAGTGATGATTTTCTACACAAACTCAATTCCACCCTTATCCGATTACAACATAATTCAAGGAAACTCAAATTTAAAATTCAAATGCAAGTTGATAAGAATAGATTTTAACTGATTCTTAATAATCTAACATTCCTCCTTAAGAATCAGTTCCTACAATTCCTAACTTCTTTCTCATCATTTCGAATTTCCCTTTTCCAAGCGGATTTGTCAGAATGTCCGCCAGTTGCTCATCAGATGAGCAATAAGTAAGCTTGATTTCACCACTCTTTTCAGCATCTCTAATTGCATGGAACTTCACATTAATGTGCTTGGTTCGACCATGCATCACTGGGTTCTTAGTAATTGCAATGGCCGACTTATTATCCACCAAAATTTCGGTTGGCAGAGACGCATCCAGCTTTAGATCATGCATTACTTTCCTTAGCCACACCGCCTGATTTGCAGCACCTGCAGCAGCAATATATTCAGCTTCAGCTGTAGATTGAGCAACCACTTCTTGCTTTTTAGATGCCCAGGAGAAAACACCAGAGCCAAATGAAAATAGATAACCAGAAGTGCTGCGTGCATCATCTAGACTCCCTGCCCAGTCACTGTCAGTATACCCAAGCAGCCTTCCTTCTCCCTTTGTCTCATATAGAATTCCATAATTTTGGGTACCCTTAAGATACCTCAATACATGTTTTGCTACTGCCATGTGAGATTGTTTTGGAGATGACATAAATTGTGACAGCAAACAGCATATCCGGCCTTGAAATAGTGAGATACAGCAAGCTTCCAATTAAGCTTCTGTACCTTGTCTCATCCACTTTATCACCTGTTTCATCCTTAGTTAACTTTAAGTTCGGAATTAATAGAGTAGAGACAGCTTTACACTCCATCAAACTGAACCTTTTAAGTATTTCACGTGCATACTTTGCCGAGACAGAAAAATTCCGTTCTGAGCTTGCTTTATTTCCATCCCCAGGAAGTATGTTACTTCACTTAGGTTGGACATCTCAAACATCTCATCAAGCTGTCCTTTGAATTCTTCCATTTTACATCGATCATTACCTGTCACCAGTATGTCATCCACATAAATGGCAGTGATCAGATTCCAGCCATTTTCATCGTGTTTTGCATATAATGTTGTTTCTGCCTCACTCTTTTTAAATCCACAATACAATAGGTACTCGTCCAGCTTCTGGTACCAAGCTCGTGAAGCTTATTTAAGGCCATACAGAGCTTTATCTAGCAGATAAACATGATCCTCTTTTCCTTCAACAGTAAACCCATCCGGTTGATCAACATAAATTTCTTCTTGGAGATCACCATTTAGGAATGCATACTTGACATCCAAGTGCATAACCTGCCACTATAAATGCGCTGCTACTGCCAAGATCATTCTGATGGTTTCATGTCTTGCAATTGGAGCAAAGGTGTCCCCAAGGTCGACTCCTACAGTCTGGGCATATCCCTTCACCACCAGCCTAACTTTGTGCCAATTTACAGGGTCATCGGGATTCAACTTGAGTCTGTAAATCCACTTGACACCGATTATCTTCTTGCCTTCTGGCTTAGGGATCAAAATCCAGGTTTTATTCTTTGTGATCGTAGCAATCTCCTCTATCATAGCATCCTTCCAAGAGGAATGTGTGGCTGCCTCTTGATAGGTTGCAGGTTCTTTGAAGGCAAAATTGCATGATTCATATATCTCAGAGAGACTTCTCATCCTAACTCCATTAGCACTTCCATCTCCAACTTCCCTATCATTTTCCAATTCAAAAGGGAATGGAGCTGGTACAGATTCATCTCCTCCTATCACCAGTTTCCCTGCCTCATCACGTTCTATTTTTCCTTCTATCCAATTCCAGTGTGAGCCTTCATCTATCACGACATCTCTCCTAATCATAAGCTTTCTGGAGCTCAGCATATACACCCGGTACCCCTTTGTTTCTGTACTATAGCCGAGGAGAATTCTAAGCTCTCTTTTGTCATCTAACTTTCTTCTTTTTCATCAGGAATTAGGTTGTAACAAACTGAGCCAAAGATCCTTATGTGGGTAGTCTCGGGCTTCCTGCCATGCCAAGCTTCAAATGGAGTCATCTTCTCCAAGGCACTAGTGGGCAACTGATTAAGCACGTAAACATATGTGTTTACTGCTTCAGCCAAGAACTGCTTGGGCAAGTATTTGTCATTCATCAGACATCTCCCCATTTCCACCACAGTTCTATTCTTCCTTTCAGCAACGCCGTTTTGATGCGGTGAGTAGGAGGCAGTAGGTTGCCTTTTGATCCCTTGAGAGCTACAAAAATCCCTGAATTTATGTGAATTATACTCAAGTGCATTATCAGTTCTTAACATTTAGAGCAAACACCCACTTTCCTTTTCTGCAATCAATTTAAACTCCTTAAACTTACCAAACACTTCTGCTTTATTTTTGAGAAAGTAAACCCAGGTCTTCCGTGTCTGATCGTCAATAAAAAATGGAGAAATACCTGCTCCCATTTAAGGAGTCTTGGCTCATTGGCCCGCAAATATCAGAGTGAATAAGTTGAAGTTTTCCTGTTGCTCGTGTGCTGACTTGTGTAGGAAATGGTGTTCTATGCATCTTGCTCATTTGGCATACACCTGCAGACAGTGTTAGTTTCACCAAGTGAAGGGGGATTGAGACTCAAGTTCTCAATTTGCAACTTTTTCAAGCCGGACAAATGATAATGTCCAAACCTTCTGTGTCAATTTTCACCCTCATTTACACTAGCATAGCAGGCCATGTGTGCTTGCCTATTCATGCACAGCAGGTAATTCTTATTAATCTTTGGTGCTGTTTCGATCTGCTGCCCATCAGGATCATAAATCCTGCAGCATTTGCTCTCAAAAAGAACCTTATACCCATTATTTGTCATTTGATTCACACTTAACAAATTTTGTTTTAATGTAGGTACAAAAAGCACATGAGTAATATGTCGTGTACCTAGGTGGGTATTCACAGAGACAATGCCCTTACCTTCTGCATTCTCGAACGTGTCATTTCCCAACCTCACTTTGTCTTTCGGAACTTTGTTTAGATAGGTGAACATGGACTCGTTCTTGCACATGTGGGATGTACACCCACTGTCAACGATCCATTTTGTGTCATCTTCGTCTATTACTTCATTTGAGGCCACATACAAGTTTGGCGAGACTTCACCAGTTGCTTCACTGATGTTTGCTTGCTAAGGTTCTCCTTTAGGTTGGCCTTCATTCTGCTTCTACTTTAGCCTACAGTTTCTTTCTTTGTGACCAAGCCTTTTAAAGAAGTGGCACTGAATTGCTTTCTTGTCCTTGTACCAACAATCCTTTTCTAGATGGTTGGTCAAGGTGCAAATTTTGCGAGGAGGAAATTTTGATTGCTTACCTATGTTTTGGTTTCCTTGTTGCTTCCCGGTTGAGCTCTTCTCTCCAGTCTGCTTTCCTTTTTTCTCAATTCCAGCTTTGAATTTTATGAACAAGGCTCCTTCTGTGTAATTGATTTCCCTTATGTTGGTTCGCTGCTCCTGCAAATCCAGCTTATTGATAAGCTCAGCTGCAGTGATGGTATCAGTATCATTCAGCTCCTCCAACACAAAGATTTTGGACTCAAACCGAGCTAGTAAACTAATTAGGATCTGTTCTACCACCCGTGAGTCAAGAAAGTTTTCTCCCAGCATCCTTATCTTGTTCATAACATCCATCAGCTTTGTTGAATACTGTCTTACTATTTCATCTTCTCTCATTTGCAGCATTGCAAATTCTCCTTTCAATTTTAGCAACTGTGTTCTTCTGTTTCTGGTACCACATTCAAGCTCTTCTCTGATTTTGTCCCAGGCCGATTTAGGGATTTTGTAGGGCATGATCCTACTAAATACCGCATCTGAGACTGTCGAGTGAATGCAGGTAAGCGCACGAGGCCTTTTCATAACCTCCTCCTCATGCCTTTGATCTGGGTTAGGGACGTCGTGTCCAGCAATGGAGGTGGCTCGGTGTCATTGAGAACCACATCCCAGAGGTTTAGTGATTGCAAATAGATCTCCATCTTCAGTGCCCAAACATGGTAATTTTTGCCATTGAAGTGTGGAGGTGCAGATGAGCCAGAACAGGTTGCCATTTTTGTAACAGGTTTTTGAGATTTTTGGATTGATGGGTAGGCTTTATTCTTTTCACAGATCCCTCGAGACAAGAAGCTCTGATACCATGTAATATTTTTACGTGAAAATTTGTCGCATGCAAAAATAATTACGTAGCTTTTGTAGAGAGAGAAAGTAAGAGAGAGAGAGGGCACAGAAACAAAGCATAACCCTGCAAAGCTCTCTGTTTCTGTGCTTCGGTAAAATTTTGAGAAGATGATGCATGAAAAAGAGCTGCAATTTCCTTCATGTTTGCATGGCTTAAAGAAACCAATTTACAATCACAGATCCTGTTTTTTCGTGCAAGTGATGATCTCGTACACAAACTCAATTCCACCCTTATCCGGTTACAACATAATTCAAGAAAACTTAAATTTAAAATTCAAATGCAAGTTGATAAGAATAGATTTTAACTTATTCTTAATAATCTAACACAACTAGTGAACTTCTGCATTTCTTGGACCAAGTACTATCTCTCAGAAGTATATCAAGAGTCAACTAAGTTGATTCAAGATACACTTAGTCCACTATTAAGAGCAACGGTCAGTAATCAACTTCTCAAGCACTCAAATACCAATGTGCAACTTGAAGATGCTTACTGCTTTGAAAAGGAACCCCTTTAGAACTTCTCCATTTATGATGTAAAAACATATTTTCCCCTTTTATGATGTAAAAACAAAAAAAAAAATCTTATTATCGTGTTATTTTTACAACTTATGTTTCATATGCGTTTTTGACTTCCAAGCCATTCAAAACAATGTGTTCCTAATTATTTTTGCTTGAAAAGCAAAGAGCAATTAACAAGGCACTATGAGGGTACCACTCATGCCACCAAAGCCTTTATAAACCAACAAAAAGTACCAATTAGGTTCCGAAAGAACACATCTTCTTGGAGGGAATGGCATTTCAACGAATATCCAAGGTTGGAACCAATTACATCAAAAGGAAATGTATATCCTTAGAAATTCTTTCGTTACTCTCTCTTCATGTGACTTAAAAATTACCATCGGGATAATCTTGAAAAGCTTCTTGCTAATTTATAGCCCTTTTATTTGACACCCACAACTCCTTAGCCAACTAGTCAAATTCTAGCCAAGAAAGATCGAGTAAAGAAATGGTAGAAACCCATTACCTCCTAGCTCCCATGCACCAAACAGAATGATTATTGGGAAATTCAAAGGGCAACATTAACAATAACCTTTTTTGAGATAGGCAACTTTAACAATAAACTTACTCCTTTTTCCCAGGTTATGCATGTTGCATAAGAAAAATTTAATACAGGGGTAAGTCTTGGAGTACCAAATATGCTTCCAATGGAATCCAAAAGCTACCTTCATTTTGGGAAAGCCAGTTGCTGCAGGAATTCACAGAGCTTGTCATCTTTAGTTAGTTCATGATAACCATTTTACAAGGCACCGATAGGACAATTGCCCAACTGAGCCACCAAGGAAATCATCTCATCCATCTCCAACATATTGAGACCTCTAGTTAATCAAATATTTTGATTAGCATTCCTATGAACGTTAAGCACCATTAAGTCAGTAACTATTGCACCTATGCCTCTATCCAAGTTAAAAATACTTAGGAATCAGATTTTCATATATTTTCATCAGACCACCAATCCTCCCAAAAACGCAAAGATGGACACTGCCTATTTTGAACCTCGGACTATCATAAACAAACCCTAACTGTTGCTAATCCATTTCCACAAACATGCGCCATTGGTCGTCTATGCCGCATGTCCTCCAAACCCACACATCAATACCATATTTGGCCAAAATCACCTCCCACCAAAGATTACTCATATAGCTCATGGATTTCCATGAACAACCTCTTTTTGTGGTGTGCTTTCCACTTTTGACTCTAAAGCACTACCTTTGAGTTTCTTGGTTTTTTGGGCAATGAAGGTTTGGTGGTTGAAGAAACTTGGGCTTGGGAAAGAATCTGGGGTGATAATTATAGGAAGAAACTCTTATCTCTCATGCCCTTGGGTACCAAACACTTATGCTATTAGAAACTTCTTTTAGCTAAAGGATCGTCCTCTTTTTCCTGTTAAGGATTTGGAGAACTTTATTACATTTTGACTCATTTTTACAGCATTTCATACTGGGGTTGTGCCCTTGGTGTCTCAGAAAATGAAATAAAAACTAGCATAATTTAAATTATGCATTACAAAATAATTAACTGAGAAAATATAAAACTAGCAAAAGTACTTCTCAAAAAAAAAAAAAAAAAAGTTAAGAAAATAGTTACCTGGATATAGGGATAGGTGTTGGCAGCTGCATTATCACCAATGAGCATTGAATCACACTGAGATGAATTTCGAGCATTATCAGCTTTTGACATAACCTGAACAAGACCCCTGTAACAGTTTCTGGATTTCCCGGCTGAAATACCTTTTGAAATAATCCTACTTTTTGTATTCTTCCCTTTGTGTATCATCTTTGTTCCTGTATCTGCCTGCTGATGATTATTTGTCAAGGCAACAGAATAAAATTCACCTACTGTTTCATCACCCTCCAAAACAACACTGGGGTACTTCCAAGTGATAGCAGACCCTGTCTCCACCTGTGTCCAAGAAATCTTTGAGCGAGCCCCGGCACAAAGCCCTCGCTTTGTGACAAAATTATAGATCCCACCGTTGCCTTCTTCATCCCCAGGATACCAATTCTGTACTGTTGAGTACTTAATCTCAGCACCCCCTGCACAATACAACTCAACTACCGCAGCATGAAGCTGGTTCCTATCATACGATGGTGCTGTGCAACCCTCCAAATACTCCACAAAGCTCCTATCATCCGCAACTATCAATGTTCTCTCAAACTGTCCTGTCTCCAGCGCATTAATCCGAAAATAAGTAGAAATTTGCATTGGGCACTTGGTATCCTTTGGTATGTAGCAAAATGACCCATCACTAAATACAGCAGAATTCAAAGCAGCATAGTAATTATCATCACTAGCCACTACTCTCCCTAAATACTTCCTGACCAAATCTGGGTACTCTCTAATTGCCTCAGATATGGAACAAAAGATCACACCAGCCTTTTCCAAGGTCTTTCTATGTGTAGTTGCTATAGACACACTATCAAGAACAGCATCAACAGCAACATTAGCTAACCTATTACGCTCATTTAAAGGTACACCAAGTCTATCAAAGTACTTAAGAAGTTCAGGGTCAGCTTCATCCAAGCTATTCAAAGTAGGTTTCTTCTTAGGCGCAGAGTAATAACATATATCTTGAAAATTAATCGGCGGGTACCGATTATCAGACCATTGAGGCTCTTTCATTTTCAAAAACCTCTCAAAAGCATTCAATCGAAACTCAAGCATCCAGTTAGGTTCTTCTTTCAACGAGGAAATCAATCGTATTGTCTCCTTCGATAGCCCTTTTGGGATCGAAAAGGAATCTATGTCCATAGAAAATCCAAATTTCTTATCGTACTCGCGATTCCGAAGAATCTCTTGGATCTTCTCATCGGAGCTAAGCGTTGTTGCGGTCGAGGGTTTACCTGATGAAGATGAACCGGAATCCGAACTGACGGTCTTGGATTCATACCCGACATCTGCTCGGACCTTGAAGAGGCCGGCCTTCGAGGTTTTATGAGGAAAAGGTTTGAAATTCTCGGGTTTCGGGTAAAACCCTCTCGAAAGCTTAGAAGAATCGATGGCGGGTTGCAGCGAGAAGCCAGAAATACCGTTGGCTAACAGAGACGCCATTGTTGTGGCTCAGGTAGAGCGTGGGAGATAGAGATGTCAAGTACCAAACTTTGAATTAAAAGGAAATCATAAAATTTGTTTTCACAAAATAATTTATAATTATGACGTATTTCTTTTGGCTGTTAATTGATGTACGTCTCGTGTAGAACACGTACCCTGTGGGTCCCAATCACGTGTGAACACACAGTAATCAACGGTGACAAAAAAATCAACTAAGTTGATCTTTTTCTAAATCATTTTGTTAAAAACATAATTTATCAATCAAATTTAATTTTTAATAAATTAAATGATTATTTAATATTATATTACACAAATAATAAAAACTACTAATTTTTTAAAAAAAATAAATAATATAAATTATTATTAAAAACCGGCACCAATTAATGCTAACTTTAATTAATAGGATAAAAATTTACATACATCTCTTTTTTAAAAAAAAAAAATTGTATAATAAAATAATCAGGTTACTAATTTTTAAAAATTATAAAATTAATTTAAAATACTTCATCATATATATTTTAATTAAATAATAATAATAATAATAACCTATAAATACATGTTTAATCGGTCATATTTTCGACGCACTCTCTTCCTCTCGGGCGATCACCGGCGGCACTCTAACCGGCAAATCTCCATGACTCCATATCGTCATAGGTGCTAACTCTCTCGCGCTGCCTTATATCTTTCTGATAGGAAGCTTAATCGGCGACTTGCGGCTTGCGGTTTGTCCAGGTTTGTTATTGCATTTCGTTTACGTAATGTTTAAACTAGTTTAGATGTGTGTATTTTGTGCTTCGATATGAATTTGAGTTAATCTATGAGATATCATATATGCAAATCGTTTCCCAATCTCATTCATCTGCAATATCTCTCGCCAGTGGCCAAATCGTTCATTTTCAACCGAGTCTGGTATCTTAACAAAATGGCGAAAGGATCAAGTCTTGAATAATGGTTTTTTTTTTTTCTATTTTTCAGTGTGGACTGGTTTTAACAAATTTTCGTTTCGATTGCTTCGAACTAAAATTTGAGAATGTAATACGAACTAACAATTATGAAATGAAGATTTTTTTAGTTAGTACTTTTAGTGACGTCCAATTCGAACTGAATTTGAGAACTTGAACGGAAAAAAATTAGATTTTTCACTCGTAAAATTGTAGTACTGGCTTACTGACTGAGGTTTTGAGATTCGAAGTCTGGAACTAGGCCCCTAATTTCCTAATGGCATGTGGAGGAATCCTCAATCTTGTGGAAATAGACGAGATTGGCTGTCTCTCCAAACCTTTTTTTTTTTAATGGCAATGATAAATACTGTTAATGAGTATTTGAGAAGATTTTTCTTCATTTTGTGTTTTCCTTGTTGATTGGAATGATGGCTTGATGATTTGATTGCATGAAGATTTCTGTTTTGTTGCCCTGTGATTCCTTGGGTTATAGATTAAATAATATAACAGGAATGTTGGTTTGACACTTTTTTAGCTTATATGTTGATAAGCTATATTAGCGCATGAAGCTTGTAAGTTATTAAACATGAGTAAAAAATTTATGTATTTCTATATAACTTAAAATCACTGTAAAGATGATGAGTGCTTGGTAAAATAGTACTTGCAGGTTGAAAAGTTAAAAAAAATTACTTAAGAGAATATATAATAAGATATTTATGATTTTTGAAAGGAAAATTCAGTGAAGTGTATAAAAGACAAAATATGTTTTTTATATGGCTTATAACTCAAAGTTATTTCACGAAAAATAAGGCTTACAACTCAAAGAAAAAATATATATTTTTTTAGCTTTTTTATTTTGACTTATAAGTACATCAACTTGTATTGTTTTGGCTCCATTCTTTTGGGTCGTAATTTATTATCCTTGAATGATATTGGAGCGGTTGTCAATATGCTTATTGATATATAAAATTCTTTTGTAAATGAGTGGTACCCCCCTGGTACCTTTTTGTACTATTCTAACTTTTATCTCAAAAAAAAGCACATGGACTTAATTTTGGTCATACCGGTTAAACCAAACACCCTTACTGACTGCACTGTTGTCAAGTGATGGATTTGATTTTGCTTTATGGAATCTCTTAGCTAATTTCCTCCAGGAGGCAAGTGATCTCGTCTCATGACAGTCTCTTAAAAGGGGAAAATAGGCTGTAAACAATGTGTTTGATGAAATGCATGAAAAAAGTGTAGATATCCTCATTGAATTGTGGAGTTACTCTTGAGATTGTGTTATAGCAAGCTGAGTCTGCTGATTAGCTTATGGTCCACCTTCATACTTTGTCTCCTTTTCATGTTGATGACCTAAAACAAAGTTCTTTTTACGGTCTTAAGCCACGAGTTTTTGGTCTGTCACTAGTGGGATTTTTGTCTACTGAATTATCATAGAACAGTTTCTTTCTTTTCCATGTTTATTTTCTTTGGCATGTTTCTTTAACTGACATAATGGACAATAGCGTGTAGTATGCTTACGATGTCTTTTTCTTCTTCTTTTCTTCTGATTTAATATTGGTGTCCTTTGGGTCTTCGATACGCTAACATTGTCCAAGCAGTAGATCCTATCTTCTCTTCCCTGCATGGTTGTTCAACGATGTTGATGGCTGCCAATGATCTTGAGGATTTGGGGTCCTAGAGAAAAAATTTTAAACATGGTCATGAAACACTCATTCAATCTTCCTTGCTGTTTTGCAAAACCTCACCATTTCCAGTCAGCATGATGAATCCCTCTTTGGTTTCAGATATTCTTTTTTTCTGTTCGCTGGACTTTCTTTTTTGTTCTTATGGATTGTAGCCTAAGGTTAAAGGAAAGAAACTTAGGACCAATATCAAGATTTGACCTTCTGAATCTTTAAATCCTAGATTTAGTTTCATGCTATTCTGTGGGGTCCATAATTAACGTATTCATTGTTTTCCCTCATAAATTGATGTATCAACTGCCACCTGTATTACTCACTGTATTTGCTGAATGAAATACTTTGAGAGCTTTACTTGTTAGTTTGTGATATTTGTTGCACAACAGGTTTAAGCAGTATGGTAATTTTGGTTTGTTTAAAATTATTCCTTCCCTTGAGTCTTTCTTTAAAATATTAGTTGCTTGAGTGTGGTTGATACTTTCTTGTGAAGGATGTCTTGAAATACGTTAATGCTTTACACGGTTCATTTAAACTGATACCTCAGCTAAAATTTATCTTGTGAAGGATGTGTTCAAATATGTTGATGCAGTACATAGTTTGTTCTAATTGATGCCTCAGCATGAATTTTAAATTTCATACTGGGAAACTGTTGCTAGTAGACAACTTCTCGTGTCTCTTTAGCTAAATGCAGGAGTTGTAAGCTAGATTTAGATAGAAGTTTTTAGCCATTTTTAAAGCTTATACCATAATATGGTTGCCTTTCCCCTTCCCATTTCTACACATTTTCTTTGACCTAGTATCTCTTAATAGACCAATGCATTTGGTGACTGGTTCCACTTTAAAAGGATTATTGGTGACCGCTAACTTTACATATCTTGAATTGCCTCGATGCACCAATTATGTCAAATGTTGAGTAAATAAGCCCTGATGGCTAGACTTGAAGGGACAAGAACAGCAACAGCTGGATAAAAATGGAAATTTTATTGCTGAAGTGAGGTTATGAAGAGGCAACTCATGGTTTAGGAGGAGGAAAAAGATTGGGTTGATTTGCAGTGGAGGCTCGGGCTGTTAGAAAATGAAAGTTGGGCAATTCCTGGTAGGTAGTGATAGGTTTGGACTTTGATAGATCTGTCATGGTGGAGTTAAGCCAAAGGAATGGTTTGGTTGGGTGAGAAATTACATCTGTTGAGCCTGAAAAGCAGGGTAGACAATACTTTGTTGTTTAATAATTCATTGTGACATACATGTAAGTGCAATTTTTAGTTTGTTTACAGAAAATTGAATGATAATTCTTAACCAAAGAGTTAGAAATTTCAGGTTCTAAAAAGATATATTGAAAGTACAGATTTTAATTACAGACGTTAGTTGAAGTACAAGATATTTTAATGTGACACGTGATACAGTCGTTAATATGAGCGGAAATAGGTATCAGGTCTTTGTTTCAAATCAAAGTGCATGATGTTTTACATGGTTTACCCTATATATTGAACAGAGGATTTATCTCAAAAAAGATATATTGAACAGAGGATTGAGAAATGGAAGAAAACTGGAATATATCTAAAGTCCTTTTCTTCTCCTTGAGTTAAGTCGTGAACTGGATGTAAAACATACCATCCCCTCCATTTTTCTCTTCACCAGTTAAGGCAAATACCCTCACAAATACTTACAGCAGTTCCTTATCTCATCTCAATCATTGTCTTGCCTCTTTGCCACCAAAACCATCCTTCATTCATTGCGCCTTCACAGCCAGGGTTTCACTCTCAGTTATTTGATTTTTGTGAATTTTCATTTTCCTCCATGTATAGCCTATGAATTATTTGTTTCTATCACTGGTTAGTGGTGATCGCTTTTGTTATTTGCTTTTGGTGTTTTTCGTTATTTTTCAACATCAGTGGTGTCGAAGTTATCATATTCTCACCCTTCACCCACTGTCCATAATCAAACTTAAGGCTAGGATCTTTTGGTTCATTTCTTCCTATAACTTTTTAAACTGTGGTTTTCCCGTTATCTATCTGTATTTAGTGAAATCAAGTTGGATCTTTCAGATTAACTTTATTGCTATTTCATATGGGAGAAAAGAAGTGTGATCAAACTGGGAGAGTATTTTCCCCACCTTCATTCGCAATTGCTCGGTACGGAATTTTTAAATCTTTAACTATTTGAAAAAAAATTCCCCTGATGGATGAAATATCTACTCTACTGAACCTGCAACTGTTCTTCCCTTGTTGCTGATAATGAGTTGTAGTATATTTTTACCCCTTAATTACATCCTTCTAGGGGCCTTCAGGATTGTATATTCAACTCTTAACGCCCTTTCCTTCTGTTTTAGGTCAGCTGATTAATATTTTTGCTCTGCATAATTTATTTACAAGTATCTTTGGGCTAGCCTTCATGCTTTAAATTCCCATGGGCTCATTACTAGATGGAGCACCCAACTTTCAGAATTTTTGTTTATCTCATCCCAAACTGTGATTCTTTTTTCCATCAGTGTGGTAAATAGTTGTGGTATGCATCAAAATATGGGTCATGACAGTTCATTAGCTGACCATTTTTATGCTATCTATGTTATTTTTTGAGCTTGAAGCTTGCTGCTTATACATGTACATAATGAAACCATATTGTTAATTTTTTTAGGAGAATTTCTTGGAGGTCATTCCATTGTAATAAGAAAACAGGCACCCAAAAAAGAAGTTTGTGCATCACTTCATGAAAGATGAACCAACTGAATCAAGGTCCCATCTCCTCTTCTCCAGTAGACCTCCCAATGAAGCGAAAACGAGGTCGCCCACGCAAGGATGAGAATCTGGCTCAAGCTGAGAATAAACCTGTAATAGCTGGATCCGATGCCGAGATAAAAAACAAGCAGAACACTGATACAAATAATGCTGTTGCGGATGACATGGTGGGTCAGGTGGTTACTGGTGTCATTGATGGTACATTTGATGCTGGATATCTTCTTAATGTCAAGGTAGGTGACACCGATACTCATCTGAGGGGTCTTGTATTTCTACCGGGACGATTTGCTCCGATTACTCCAGCAAATGATGTGGCTCCATATGCTACGATGTACAAAAGAAGAGACATTCCAATCCCGTCTCTAAACCCACAAACTCCACTCCATGGTTCTGTTCCTCCACCAGAGAAAATAGACATGAAACCTGCTGAGCATAATAACCATACACCTAAGTCAGAAACCCAGCCCTCTGAACAAAAGTCATGCACCTTACCTGCAGAAAACCAATTTGTCTCTGATACGAGGCCTCCTCCTAGTAACTTGCCGAGGAATGACACAGGTCTTTTGCTGGAAGATAAAATCACACAACCAGAAACTTCAGAGTCTGTGGTTGAGAGCAAGACTCCCCCTGTTATGGACCAGCCAGAGGATTTCAAAATTCAGAAAGAGAATGACATGGCGCAGCAACTTGAAACCTCCATGCTGTTAGAAGGGCTGAATACTGATGCAGGGGCAACTAAAGAATCAGAGCCACCGGCCACTCCATTTTCTGATTTGCTGCCATGCATTGAAACTGCTGATCAGAATCCTCCTGTTGAACAACAGACAGGAAGTTATGATCTTAAGTCAAATGATCTGGTTCAAAATGAAGTGAAGAGCCCAAATGTCGACCACAACCAAACTCCCTTCTTTCCCGAACCTGAACCAATGTCTTCTGAGCCAACTGGGGTCAATAGTCTGATTGAAAAACAAGTTTTGGAGAAGGAAGATGCACCCCAAGACATGCTGCCAGAGCCTCCAACAAGGCTGTTTCCGGAGATGAGACATCAGACTTAAATGGAAGCCTCTTAATGTGAAGTTACTGTGTTTTTTTTTTTTTTTTTTTCTGTAGACTGTTATATGAACTCTTAGAATTCGCTTTTCGACCTCTGTTCTGATGCAAATTTTTGGGTAACCCTTATTTTCTGAGTGGTTATTCCTGTTAATGGTTTGGCATGTTATTTTTGGTATTACATTATTCACATGTCAATCCATGAGGACCTTGGAGATAGTGGTTGATTTTGTTACAATGAATAAACACATGAACATACAGGTCAATTCTCTTTACTGAATCTCTTGCTGCAGATAGTGCTCTCTCTTTTTCTCTTTTCTCTCTCTCTCTATATATATATATATATATACATTCTATATATCTCTTAGCAGGATCGAAGATGATCTTTTGTTAGATTGTGGACCTTCAGGATTGTTGGATTGGTAAAGAAGATTCAATATCAAGATCATCTCAATAAATAATAAATGATTCATCTAGAACTGGTGATTTTACTCTTACACTATAGATTAAAAGTTGGTAATCATAACTTACAACTTTATATATTAATTATTTTTTAATTAAGTAACTATTACTTTTCTTTTTTTATACATAAAAAATTGTAAATTTAAATAAAATTATAAATTCTCACAAATTTTTCTTTATAAAAATTTTTATACCCCATTTTTAACAAAAATATTGTTAGCTCAAAAATAATAAAAAAAATTATATTTTTGTATTAAAATTATATTTTCTTAATTAATAATTTAATTCAATAAAATTTTAATGTAAAAAGAAAAATATTCACATATATATATATATTACTCATTATTTTGGTTTTAAAATTTTAAAGATATTTTTATATATAAACATCTTAGAATAAAAAATTAAGAAAATATTTGCAGATATTAACATTTAACGAGTTCTCCCTCCATAGTCTATTCGCACCTTCATTCCCGCATGCGATCCTCCCCGTATCTAGTTACCGGCGCTGACTCTCCCGCGAAGCCCTAGCTTTATCCCGCACTATCTCTCTGACGCGAAGCTCAATCGCGAGACTTCTCTGTGCGGCTTGCCCTGGTTTGTTATTGCATTTGGTTTATATATGGCTTAGAATATTTAGATGAGTGTATTCTCTGATTTGGTATGAAATTAGTCGATCTGATAGATATGTTGTACGTAAATCATTGTCAACTCTCATTCATATGCGGTGTCTCTCCTAAATTATTCATCTTCTGATTCCTGGAACAAGTAGCGAAGGGATGGCTCTTGAAGTTGAGCTAACGAACTTTTGGAGCGTGGAGTGGGTTCAAAAAGTCCTCATTGTCGACTGGTTCCGAGCTAAATTCTAGAACTTGCTGCAAACTAACAATAGTTAGAGGAAGTTTTTCAATTAGGTTTGTACTTGATTCTACAATTCGAAATTAATCTTGGGATTTCGAACAGACTGAAATATGAAAAGTTTTTTCATTTGTAGATTGTGGTAGAAGACTTAATATTAGAACTCGAGAATTTGATAAGCCAATTATAATTTTCAGTCCCAGAAGTAGATATGGAAATAAAGTAGGACTAGTTTCGTAACGGAGACCACGGAATTGTAAGTTTGGAAATTTGTTGGTGATTTCCTGACAAAGAAATGGGAATCCTCAATCTGGTTGAATTGGAAGGAGAGGTGCAGAACCTCAACTTTGGAACAGTTGATTGCATGCCGGTACAAGCAATGAATGAGTGATGGGTTTAGGCATTAGAGATGAAAGAAAAGCAGAAAAGAAGTCCACCTCTATTTAGTGTTTGGCTCCACAACTGACCCCCAAGTACACCATCAATCTGCTTTCTTGAAGTTGTGACTGACATCTAAAGCTACCATCTCCTCAATTCTTCCTTCACCAGCAAAGCCAAATGACCCATAACAAAGACATACAGCATTTCTTATCTGATCACAGCTGTTTCTTGCTTTCTTGCAGCAAAAAACAAACCTTCATGCGTTACACTTTCTCTGCTCTTCACAGCCAAAGGCTCATGCTCCCTCATTTGATTTTTTTTTACTCTGTTTGCAATTTTTGAGTTTGTTTTCAGCTGTTGTTGGTTGGTGGTGTTTGATTTTGTTATTTGCTTTTGGTGTTTGACTCCTGCTGATGGAGTTTGGGGATGCTGCAGGAATACAAAATTTTGTCCTCTCGATTGTGTTTTGGGACTGACGGGTGACAGTTCTTTACTTTTGGAAACCCATTGCGGCTTATGAATTCAGTCCAGAAGACCATTAGTGGATATCAATTATTTATTTGTTTTTTTGGTTTCTTAGCATAAACAGGCATTCTGGTATCTAATTCTGTTAATTTTTTCCAAATGGTCTCTCTTTCTAGGAAACCAGATTCTGTATATGTTGTTTTTGGGCAAGATCTTTGATGCTTCCTTTCCAGAAATCAAAGAAGTGGAGAATATGAGTGTTTGGAAAATTCCAGTTTACACAACACCCTGCACTCAATGATGAAAACCTTTCTTTTCTCTTTTCATAATGCATCTACAAAAAAAAGGTGGCTCTCTAGTGTCTATGTTGTGTGTGTGTGTGTGTGTGTGTGTGTTTGGTATAGCAAGAATGATGAGGAAGGGAGGGGGGTGTTTAGCTAGGTACAGAGGCAGAGGTTATGAGGAGCAGAGAAGAAAATGGAGGACATAGAAAGAAGGGGTTTGTGATATAGATGATGCTAATGGTGGATGAGAGAGAAGAGAGACAGCAAAGAAGGAAGTAGCTAATAGATGTTCAAGGAGGAGGAAGTGGAGCAGCAGTACAGGTTGCTTTTTTTTTGCTTTAAAGCTTCAATAGTGTTTTAACTGGGTCAGCTAAAAGGATCGTAACTTCTTATTAGTTTAGAGATTTATTAGTAGCTCCAGTAACTTTTTGAATATCAAGAACTAGATGTCAACCCAAAAAAACCGTAACCCTGTAAAACAAATACCGAAAGAAAAACAAAAAAAAAACTAGATGATTTCAAATTTAAAGCAAAATCTATAAGCCAATTATATAAACATCCAACTGTAATAGAACGAAAGGTAAGAACCGAAGTAAAAGTTGGAACGGGTGTAACCACTGTTTTACCTTGTTTATGCATGCCTATGCTTGTGTTTTAGGAGCTGAAAAAATCAATTCTCGGTTATCCATATTCAAAAATATGTTGTTTCCAGGATTTGAGGAATAAGCTTGGAAGATGGACATAATCTCGCAGTTACAGGAACAAGTGAACACTATTGCTGCTCTTGCTTTCAATACATTTGGGACTCTTCAAAGAGACGCTCCCCCTGTCCGGCTTTCTCCAAATTATCCAGAACCGCCTACCAATCCTACAGATGATGCGTCGAATTTTGCTGAGCAACCCAAGCAAATGAGTGCAGCTCTAGTAAAGGCAGCTAAGCAGGTGTGTAGTATTTTGTGGTTGACCAATAATTCTCTTTGGATAGAAGAAAGAAATATTATTGGTGAGGCATGGTTGACCAGTCATTAAGGAAGTATATTTAGTTAAGAGGTTCTCTGCTTCTTTTAGTAATTGAATGTGGGACATGTTTTCGTCCCCCATAGAAATCATAGGAAAACTCATGTTGCCAAATAAAATATTTCTGATTAGTATGGAACGATTTCCTAACAGAATCTGTGAACGTTGTTTGCAACTCTCTGCATCCTATTGGACTGGAGAGCAATAGATGAAATGTTGTTTTAGTTGTAAAAAGATTATGTTGAGTTTGTAAGGAGCAAAAAAGGTATATAAAGAAATGTGTTGGGTTTTGAAGGAAACGAAAAAATACCAAATAGGTTTTCAGTTCATTTGAAATTTTTGGTGTTGTTGTGGCACTAACTTATTTGCTGTATAAAAGAGTAAAATCCATTATTAAAAAGTATGCAATGGATTCTTCTTTTATCTTGTCTAGTTCGATGCATTAGTCACAGCACTGCCATTGTCTGAGGGAGGTGAAGAAGCTCAACTGAGGAGGATTGCTGAGCTTCAGGTATAAACTATATAAATTATGAATCAACTGATTCAATGTTTTCCGTCTAATATTGCACTCATGTTTCTCTTGACTGATTCCATCTGAGTCGTTGTTCAGGCTGAAAATGATGCTGTTGGGCAAGAACTTCAGAGGCAACTAGAAGCTGCTGGTAAATATTGATGATTCTTTTGACCATTGGTTAATTTATTTACTATCTGGGTGCCGTTTTGGGTATCACAACCAAATCCACAGCGATCTCATTGTTCCCATTCTTGCTTGGAACAAATGATAGGTCTAGAAATGTGTAGTGCATTCTGATACTTGTTCACCTGGCTATATTCAACTGCCAGAACTAAATATTTCACTCTTATTTTACACGACAGAGAAGGAACTGAAACAGGTGCAGGAGTTGTTCAGCCAAGCAGCAGATAATTGTTTGAACTTGAAGAAACCAGATTGAGAATCCACTTGTTGAAAGAGTTGTATCCATCTTTCCATTTTCCCATATTTTAACAATATTTTGTTTTCTTTGGCCACAATGGTAGCCGTGCAAATATAATGAAGATCTGTAGATTTATCGATTTCGAAATCTGTATACACTAGGCTTACTGCTGGAATTTAACACACAGTTCTAATATCTTTATACGAGTGACAAGGCTGGGATATTCTTCTTTTGTGACATTACATGGAAACCCGACTTGTAACATGAGAATCTGGTCCTTCTCTACTTTCCAAGTTTTGATGTGCACATTGAATACATGCGATATTTGCCATACTTAACTAATAAATATATAAATATGCACAAAAAAATAAATTTACTTATACTTTCTGTCAAATTTTCAAAAAAAATAAAAAATCAAAAGCAACATTTACCATCTTTGACTCACAATGTTAGTGAGATTGGAAATGTTTGTTATTTTAGTGTAGACTTTAACACCACAAATTATTTCTGTGTTTAATTTAAACAATACAGTTTTACTAATTTGAAACTTCGTGACCTGCAATCTTCATACACATACAATATACACACACTTCGAATGCAACAGATTGAGTCAACCAGGTAACTGGTGCAAAACAGGCAAATTTTTTCAAACAATTTGAAAATCTAATGGTTACTACCAAAATTAAGATAGATATAAATATATAATAACCTCAAAACATTAGTTACAGTGGTTAGCCCCAGAAGGACCCATATATAATGCACTTCGAGAACTTGGCTCAGTATCACTTTCAAATGCCTCAATATGATAACTACTGCATGGTAGGATGTTTGGTAAAATATAAAGCAACAACAAAATAATTATTTTTTGTTTATAACAACTCCTGCGAACACAATTTCCCAATACAAACCAACTAAATTTAAGTCGAGCTACTGCTGATATGAGCATATGTTTCTATAGGCACAAACTCAAGGCGGCTCTAAGTCTTTAGTCAATAAAGATTGGCCATAGAATATATATATAGCTCTCAAAAATTGCATATTAATAGCTAAATCCCATTTGCTGCGGCTGCTGTTGCTGCTGCTGCGGCTGAGATGGTGGCTGTTGCTGTGGCTGCTGATAATTTCCGTAGCCTGGATAGCCTCCATAGAACATGTTAGGGTCTTGGGCAGCATATCCATAGTAGTCATGTCCCTGTGGTTGTGGGTATCCCCCATAGGACCATTGGTTAGGATCTGCCTGTGGCTGAAAAACATGCATCCAAATAGATTGTGAGATTAAAACATATATGCATGGTTCAATGTAGGAGGAATTAATATTGTATTAGGTAATATTAAGAACCTGTTTGTTTGAAGGACTTCGACCCCAAGAAAGTCTGACATTTTGGCCTCCCAACTGGATTCCATTTAGCATTCGCAATGCTTCCTCTGCGCAGTGTCTGAGAGATCACATTATCAAAAATAGATGTTAAGTCTGCCTAAGAGTTTACTTGAGAGTTACAAAAATAAAACTAAATTTTCCAGAAGGGTATTGACAACATTCTGCAGATAACTCACTTCTCAGCAAATTGAACAAACCCACATCTTTTCCCTGCTGGTATCTTTACATGTAGCAATGCCCCATATTGGCTAAAAACACTCCTTAAAATATCATCAGTGACACTGGAATCCAGACCACCAACAAAGATCTGCATGGTAATGCTGTTAACTGACAGCCACGCCCAGACAAAGTAAGCATTTCAACTGAAAACGAATAACAATACCCACCGTTGTGTTATTTGGATCATTATCACTCTGCCCACCTTGAACTTGAGGAGTCTGATATGAATCTGCATGAAAACCCATATAAAATAAAATGCTAAAAGGAGAGAATCATGCTTTCCACCCACATATGAGCAGAAATCAAGATAGGCCTGTATAGGCAGAACCAACTAGACCATTTCATCTTGTTCCTCGCTTACAATAAGATAATTAGTTGAAGACACAGAATTGAAAATCAGATGAAAAAGAGATATGGAACTATTTCAGCACAATCTTAAGCAGCACCTAAGAGTAAGAGAAGCTCCACAAAATACTATAATATAGCTGAATGTGCTAATTAGAACAATAAAATATGAGATCCAAAACATAAACTAGCAGAGATATCAGTAATCATAAACCATGGAATTGTATCATATGCTTCAATGCATCCAAAGCATGGTCTGAAGAGAAGATGAGAAACTAGACAAAAATATTAAAATCATAGAGAGAATTTGACAACGTATCAGAAATAAACAGAAACCTTTACTTTATTTCAATAGGGTTTTAAACTGGATCACAAAAGATTGAGCAATACGGAATACTCCGGTACAGCAACCGTAGAATCACTGGAATTCATATCTAAAGTGAAGGCCAAAAGAAATATCACTTGGGATTTTACAGGCTCATAAAATTTCTCCAGATGCGACAATGACTTGTCAGCTGAATAGAACAACAAGATTTCAGATCCCGAAGTACTGTATCTTCCTCAGAGAGTTTCTGCATGCAAGTCTTCTTGAGAAGATAAAATACTTAATTTGGCACAAATGTAAGACTAGCTTCCCATTTCCGCTAATATATAATAGGTTTTTCCGTCCTTTAATGCTCAAATTCTTCGAAAAGCCCAACAATAACCCAACGTATACAGTTTAAAATTTTTCGTCAACCACGAAACCTGAAATACCTTCTAACAATCTAACAGAACATAATCCTATCACTATAACGTACTATACACATGCAACCTTGCATGTATTGATGAATGAAGTACTTTTTTTATTTTTCTTCCCATTTCTCTAGGAAGTGAGGTAGACCCTATGGAGAATATGTGAGGAGAAGAAACTTTTGCAAAGTGCCTAGCACATACTTACAAAGATGAAACAACTACAACACGCATGACGTAACCATCATGACCCACTAGTGAAATGTTAAAAATCATCAAGATCTCAGCATGAGGACCCAACATTTAAATGATGGAATCTAACTAAAAATTTAACAAAGAACAATATGTCAAAGATTCAGAAATTAAATGAGGAAAAGAACTCGAACCTATAACTCAAGAGGGAAAGAAATAAGAAAAAAATCCTAACCTGGTGATAGAACATTGTGACCCAATAAATCTTGAACTAATAAAGTGACCATAAGTAACTGCTGGCAGCTGAATTAATAGTACATACCAGATAATTCTTCCAAAGTGTAGCATAAAAGATGCCACACCAATTGCAAATAAGGGGCAGAACAGAAACATTAAGCTTAACACCGACCTAACTGAAAGCTGAAGAAACTTCTGAAGTACCTACTGCCTAGGACTTAATTACATAAATGGAAGAAGTAAAGCACAGGCAACATTCACTGTCGTGACCCACTAGTAAAATTTAAAAAATCAACTAGATCCATACATGTGGACGCAACATTGGAAAACGATGGAATCTAACTAAAAACCTAACAAAGAAAAATGCATCACAGCATGATAAATGAAAGGAGGAAAAGTAAACCTCGAAGTAAACTCAAGAGAAGAACAAACACGAGAGGAAAAAAACCCTGACCCGGTAAAAGAATATTACTGGGCAAAAAAATCTTTAATTAACTAGTAGTGACTACATGTAACTGACTGGCAGTGGAACCAATAGCAGATACTAAATGATACTTTCAAAATGTAGCATAAAAGATGCCACACAAATTGCAAATAAGCGACAGCACATAAACATTAAACTTAACACTGACCTAACAGAGGGCATGGACTAAGGGGGTGACCGTTTCAGCTGAAATCAGTTCCAGGCCCCAAGATGATAGAGCCTCTTGACGCCCTGCTTTAAGACAACAGGAGATAACAAGAGTGCTATAAGCTTTTACAACGTGGAAGATTTGAATAGCATTTACCGTGCCCAAAATGTTAAGGAAACCACAGGAAGGAAAAAAGTCAAAAATGACTTTGTAAACTTCTGCTCATTCTCAAAAGCATAACTATGAAACTGAACTTAACAATAATGTTGAGGATAACACGTACTGAACATTAGTAATGGGATTACTGTGGATAACCTTAACAAATTTACCCAAAAACTATAAACTAAAGCTCAATAAAGAAAGAAAACCAAAAAAAAAAAGGAAATACAACATTCACAAGAGATCACAGAAAAATAAAATATCAGATAGAATAATTTGCACCCAGTTGCCAGGGAGACAAGAAAATAGAACAAATAACCACCAAGAGATAGACACATACCTTTTTGACCAGAAGCTGTCTTCTTGTTAGTAGCAGGCCCAATTCTCATGGGCCTTGTTGAACAGAAAGCCCCATTCATCTCAGTCATGGCTCGTAATTGCTCGCTTTCATCCGCAAATTTAACAAATCCATAACCTTTTGTCCGTCCAGTAAGCCTATCAATCACAACCTTTGCACCCTTAACTGATGTATAGCGAGCCCTGAAAGTCTCTTGTAGCATATAATCTGTAACATCTGCCGCCAAGTCCCCAACAAATACTGTATAATCAGGGGTTTCATCCCGCTTTTCCCCTGAACTAAAAGTTGCCCAGTTCAGCCTGAAGAGCTGTTCACCATTTGGCATGGGCGTTGCATTATATGTTTGTAAAATTCTTTCAGCAACAGCACGTGAAACAAACTCAATAAAGCCATAACCCTCTATTTGACCAGTTTGCTTGTTGCGGATGACTTTCACGGAAACAACCTGCAAAAATGAAATTTGACATTTAGCTAAGAAGAGCATCAATCCCAGGTCAGCGCAAGCACACAACCAAATATTACTTCAATAAAGAAAGAAAGAGCATTTGCGGGTGTAGGGTTATTCTGAGACCAGTCTTTAGGTCACACAGCAAATTCAGCTTGTGTCAAACCTAAATTTGAAAACCATAGTTTTCAAAGAAACATAGAAATACTTCAAATAGTTCTTTAGTTCATTCACGGCAACTAGTAATTTCTATCATTCAGCTTTTAAGCTGAAGCATGATTTCAACATCTTCCAGAATACACCTAAGTATTGATCTCTGCAGCATGTACTAATCTTCTTGATGAATCTCCAAACTCATTGTTCAAAGCTATTTTTTGAGATATGATCTTATCCAGACCGACCACCAAAAAAAATATTAGGAGGCCGTACATCTACACAATAATCTTCCATATATACGTGGTAAACAAACATCAATATAGCCCAAAGCTGAAAGTAGCATCATAATAATCTAAAAACAGACTATTAGAAATGGTGTTTTTCAAAAAAATTCCTTAACCTGATAAACAAGAATTAAAAGCACGTAAAGAAAAGCCAAAAGCTAAAAATCTAATGCACCCAGAATCACAACTTCTCAAAAGTAAAAAAGCAGAACCCAGTTTTCAATCTTCTTCGTTTATAGTACCTCTCCAGTCTGAGGAAAGCAGCTCAAAAGATAGTTCTCATCCATCCAGTATTGCAAGTCCCCGATCCAAAGAGTCCGGATCTCATCCCCACCTTCGGGTTGACCAGATTGCGTTTGCTGCGGCTGAGCAGGCAGCTGCTGTTGCGCCCACATGGGATGAGCAGCACCCTGCGTCTGAGGAGGCTGGGGCATCATCATCGTCGGATACGGCGGCTGTTGCTGATAGCCGTACTGTGGTTGAGCCTGTGGAACCATTGATGGTGGTTGTGGCTGAGCCATGGGTCCAGGTGCAGGCTGCTGCATCATGATTAGAGCAGGGATAAAAGATCGGTGTTCTCGAGAGAGAGAGAGAGAGAGAGAGAGAAAATGTTTGCTTTTGGCGACGATGCAAACCCTAACCCTAGACGATGGGGCTGCTGGAGGGATTGGACGACGGGGCGTGAAAGATTGGTTAAATAGAGAGAGGAGGGATTGGTTACCAATTTAGCTTAGTATATGTGGACAGTGTTCGAGTGCTTCGCGGATATTTTTAGATTTTTGTCCCCTTTTAACTTGAACCGTCGGATTCGTAGACTCGCGTGTAATTTCAAGTTATTTTAAAAAAATGCAAATATTTAGGGTTTGGTTCAACTTAATCTTAATTCAATTATTGTGTGATTACTAAACAATTCTAAAGGAAGTCCATTCACTTTTTCATTTATAATTTATTTTATTTTTCTTATAACTATAATAAATATATTTAATTAAAATCATATCTCAAAATATTCTCATATTCTTAAAAATAATTTCTCGTAAGTATGTTTCGGATTTATAGTATTTAAGTTGAATAATAATTCTAATTGTAATTATATACCAAAATATTTTATATTAATAAACATCAATCATATTGTATAATATTTTATTATTTTTTTAAATTTATGTTTTATTTTATATTTTCATTATTATTTTTTACTTTTTATAAATATTTATCATTTTTCGATACAAACGTAATTTTTTTATATAAAATTATCATATTTTATATTAAAATATAATTCTTATTGATATTGTGTATCTAAATATTATTATATCATTAACTATTGATTAGCTTAAATAATTTATAATTATGAATTTAACCTTGTATTTTTCTCATTTTATGTTATGTTTTTTTTATGTTTATGTTTATGTTTACGAACAAATAAATAAAAAATCAGCTAAACCATAACTCTCTTTTGTTTGTCTGTGCATTTTTATTTTAAGTGTTCAGTTAAATAAATTTTAATTAAAATAATCAATACAATAACTACTCAATGTATACAAGCAAGTATATTAAAACTTTATATGGAAGCATCGCATTCCTATTTATTTATAAAGTGAAAGTTATTATTTATAACTTTTTTTTCAATACATTTATAGTTATTACTGAATCCCGCTTTCAATTATAATCATATCTTAAAATTCATACATTTTATAACATCAAATTTTTTAAACAGTCGGATATTATTTTATTCAAACTAAATCTCAGTTAATATATATATTTAATGAAATTATCAATTTCGACTTTTTGTACATATATTGATATTGAATTATGTCTATAATCATATCGTATCTCAATAAAATCTTATAAATATATACATCAATTATTTGAATAATTTGTCACTATTTTTTTAGTCAACTATTAAAAAAATATTATACTACGATTATCATCTAAAATATTATATTTAATTGTGAATAATCACATATTTAATGAAAGTTATATAGTGATCGGTTCTCTTAACCAAATATATTAAAAAATATTTTAAACATGTAATTATTTTAATTATAAAATATTCAATGTTTAACATGATTTATGTGTTTGTATTCGTCACTAAAATAAATAGATAAAATTAGATAATCAGTTAAGTTTCATTATTCAAAATAGTGTTTAACTATTTACCCGCTTATAGTAAAATTATTATAAAATATTTTGATACGACATATGTTTTATAATATTTTAAATTCTAAACCAACGATGATTTTATTTCAACTATTCAACCACTTACCTAGTAAACTCACTTGTCCAAATGGGCTACTGTTAAGATTATTATAATTCAAAATTTGATAAAATCCTTTATAAATTGTGTTTTACACATGATTTTTCTTTGGACCAAATATATTATTATGGCTTAATTCCAATGTATTTAATATCTACGTTATACTAATATATGTTTCATTTTTTTTTAAAGATAATGTATAATAATAATTATTAGTAATATATTAGTTGAACTGTAATAACTAAGTTTAGATAAATATTTAATAAATTTATTTTATTTTTTATTTAACTTAATGTGACTGATGATTAATTAACTATTATATTAATTAAATTGTAATAATTAAATCGAAATAAATTTTAACGAAATAAAAATTTAGTATTAATTAAGTTAGGATATATATTATAAATTAAAAATTTTAGATAACTTTTTAAATTTTCATAAATATAGTAAGATAATTATGTTTAAGGTTTAAATTAATGTTTAATTATCTAAAACTATAAAAAAGTAAAATAAATTATAAAAAAATTTCACAATATTTAATAAATTTTATTAAGGAGAAAAACAAAATAAAATATTTTATAACAAAAAAGAAAATATATATTTATTTATTTAGCCAATCATGTGAGATGGGCAAAATCGTCAATTCACGATATTACCATTTGTAATGATGACCTCACGTAGTTGGCATCCAATCATACGCCAACCCTGAAAAAGCCCGCACACACTCAACTTGCATTCCTCCCTCTATAAAGCCTCACTTCCCCCCCGCTGCCTCCGCCATCAACTAGCCATTTAGCCTCCAAGCCCACTTGCCTCGGCTGTAGCTTTTCCTCGTCAGTAACAAAAAACAGGAAATGGAGTTCTCTGGGTATCAGCAAACTTCTTCTGTAACGGCCCCGGAAATATTAAAATGAAATGAGTATTTAAATATATCAAATGCGGAAGCGAGATCAAAATTTCAGTTAACATCCCTTACACGAAAAACCAGAAACGTACTTAAAATATAAAAGATTAAACTAACTAAGAGAGAAACTCGAAAATAAAACTATGAGTATGACTACAGAGTCTCTAGGTATCCCCTTCGTCGTCCTCCTGCGGAACGGGCTCGGGAACCATGTCTTCTTGATCTGAAATGGTTAAATAAGGAGTGAGCTACACTAGCCCAGTAAGAACATCACGATATCTCACCGTCACGGAGGTAAAGGTGGGTAGAAAAACACAAAAAGACCAATGGAGCATAATTTACAATAAACTCGTTTATTAACATGAAAACCTTTACCATCCACTTACCTTGGTGGAATTTATGAAAACAATATGAGAAAAACAATAACATCATCATAATCATTGAATAATCTAAGCTGTAAAACATAACACTTATCACGCTTCTTGTAATTCAATCATTGTACAACATATCTTTTTCTCATTTACCAGCCTACTAGTATCCGTGGGGGTCCATAGGGGTTCCGCTACCCGTTAACCTTTAACATTCATAATCAGTTTCCAGGACCGTCCCCATACCCCGTCCGGTATGGGCGCCAAAACCATAAACCTCAATACCCCGTCCGGTATGAGGGTGAAACGGGCCGTCCCCATACCCCGTCCGGTATGGGCGCCAAAACCATAAACCTCAATACCCCGTCCGGTATGGGCGCCAAAACCATAAGATCTCCATACCCCGTCCGGCATGTGAGACCACAATCCCGGTAGGGTTCCCTACGGACCCGGTCCGTCCACCATCTCCCAGGATATCTAGTCAGGCTGACCCCATCATACAATTATCAGTCTATACAATGTTTCATTTCCCTTTTTCCTCAATAAGCATCATCAATTCACATTTAAACAAGCAAATCGTAATTCATGCTGAACAGACAACATACAGTATCAGTTCTTCAGTCATTCAACCCATAATTAATAAAAACGTAGTAAATGCACACAAATCTGTAAAATAAACACATCAAACCCCATTCTGCATTTAAAGCTGTAAACAGTGTAAAACAGGCCAAATAACAGTAAATCATCAATCACACTAGACTCGGGCTCCATTAGCAACCTTAAGCAATTTCACACATGCGTTAATTCAAGAAATACCGTTTTATCATTTTGAACTTTAATACCGTGATAGAAAATAGGGTGAGGGGTCCTTACTTGTTTTCGGGATCCGAATACGATTCACAGTGCGCCTGCAGGCCGTCCCTAATTTTCCCTGAATTTTTCCCGGGGAACTGAAACACACTAACAGTACCTGCACCCGAGAGCGCCGCCGCCGGTAAGCTCCGTTTTTCCGTGATTTTTTGGCCCCCCGAGGGCCCTAGGGTTGTTTTCTGACAAGGACCAATGCGAGTGTGGCCGAAAACAGTCAACCCGAGGTTCGTGTTTTGGTGATTCGGCTCCGGTCAACCTGTAGAGAAAAGAATGGTGATCACGGTGATATAAAAATTGCATCGAACGGAGGCCGGGAAGGGCCTCGTCGGAGGCAAAAACCGAGAGGGGGCGCGGCGGCGCCGCTGGGCTTCGGCCGCGTATTCCGGCCGTTTGGCCAGGATTTCGGCCTCGATTTGGCCATAGGAGGAATCAGCGGGGAAAAACGAGTCGGGGGTATGAAATTTACCTAAATCGGCGGTCGGAAATTTCCCCGGTGCGGCGGCGAGTGGCGGCGGGTGGCGGCGGTCGGCCTCTGGTTCGTCTTCTCCGGCGAGCGGCTGGCGGCTAGGGTTTTTGGTCTGGTGTGGGGGTTCTATTTATAACCCCTTACCTTTTGATCACAGCCGTTCATTTCGTTTTAATCTGGGCCGTTCGTTTTTGATTGAATCTGGGCCGTCCGATCGCATGATTGATCTGGGCCGTCGGATCGCACCCACGCGGATCGCCAACGTGGCTCATTTCGGAGTGACGCGATCTTGCCACGTGGCAGGCCCTGGTTGGCCGGGACTGCTGACGTGGCCCCCCCCTTTTTTCTTTTTTTTTTTTTTTTTTTTTTTTTTTTTTTTTTTTTTTTTTCCCCCCCCCTTTCCGGGTGCTACATCTTCTCCTTGGCAATATCTCTTAGCTTCTCCTTCACTCGTTGCCTACCACCATTTCAACCCAGAAAACTATGTTCACTGGACTCAAACCCCTGACTCTCATATTTACTCTGCTGATCTTCCCGGTTATTTTTCTCCCCCACCCCAATACAAATTCCAGCGTATGATTTCCTTTTCCCTTTTTTAAATATATATATATTTTTTTAAATTATTTTTTTCTGGGTTGGCAGGTGTGAGGAAAGAAGAGATAAGGGTGGAGGTGGAGGAGACAAGGTACCTAACAATCAGAACAGAAGCCATTGACGAAACAACAAAGCCTGCAAGAAGCTTCATGAGGAAGTTCAGGCTTCCGGGTATGGTGGATGTTAATAGAATATCAGCTGGGTACGAAGATGGTGTGTTGACTGTTACAGTTCCGAGAGCTTTTACGAGTAGGAGAGGGCTTCTTGTTGACCTCGATAGTATTCCTGAGAGTCTTGAGGTTACTGCAAGAGCTGCTTGAATTTTAAATATTTGTTTTAATTTGAAAAAAAAAAAAATTTGATTGGTTGCTAAGAAAATATGTGATTGAATCTTGTTCTGGAATATTCAGTTGGAGTTATTGTATATATGAAGTTTTATACTTTCTATTATAGTAAATTTTAATATTGTATATATATATATATTTATGTAAATATTTTATTTAGTTATTAATTATTAAAGTTGCAGTGTCCAAATTATTCATATTTACTCTGCAGCTTTAATCCAATGACTTGCTTGCACTTGAAGTAGCCCGCAGTCGTAGGTTCCTTCTTTGAAAAATTAAATTATTAAAATTTTCCCAGTAAATAAATTGTAGAATTAAAATAGATTACTAATATTTAATACTAATTAAAATTTAAATAAATAATTCTTTATTTGTCCATTAAAAGTTTATAAATAATTATTTTACATGTTTATATTAAGATGAGAATTAAATTTTATTTAAAACATTTAAATATATAAATATTATTAATTTAATTTTATTATATATTAGAAATATATGAACCCAGAGCCCATTTCAAGTTGGCCCGGCCTGCTTTTTCTTCGTGCACCACCAAAGCTTCCGCCCCAAGTCGGAGTTTCGTCTTTCCGAACTGAAAAACCTCACCGGGTTTTTCTTCGTCATTGGCGCCGTTGAATATACTTTTCACTTTTTATTTCTCGTATTTCAGCTCCGTCCAAATGAGAAGATTCAGCTGGCTGGGGCTGGTAATTGTTATGAATTTAATATTCTTTAATTATTTTTTAGGTAACAGAGAGAGAGGGATAGAGTTTTCATCTTCATTCTTCAAAAATTTTTTCCTCATTTTTTTTTTCCGGTGGACACTTATTTGAATCGGCGTTTTACTGTTTGCAGGTTCAGCGGCAGTTACAGTCATCAATAGCTGTAGAATCAGCATGTACATTGCATCAGTCATTCTGTAGACAAGGTAACACACTCACGCTAATATACGTTGATTTTGTTCTAATGATTGACTTTTTTGGCTTCTATTAACTGATGCCAATTGCTTGTTGCTCTGGCGGTTCCTGATTATCAGTAGCTTCTATTTTGCTTTATTGTTCGTCTTTTCCCTCTCTTGGTCAGTTGTAGCGTAATATCTAGAAACTCTATACCAGTGGCATGCCTGATTAGTAACTATGCGCTAACAATCCACGTTTGTTCGTTTTTCCTTTGAAATAAGCCTTGCACAGTTGCAGTTTGAATGTTGGGAAACACGTTGAGTTTGCGGCAGGTGGAGTATCATTAAGACCGCGGTACATTCATGCTACAGGTCATTTATCAGTCCCTTCCATGCAGCTAAGAAGAACACCCTGTTTTCACTGCCAATATTTTGAATTATGCTTTCAATTTTGGTTACCCTTTATGCATTTTCCAGGATCATGTTGCTCTGCATCACGAGACTACTATGAAATTCTTGGTGTCCCTCAAAATGCTAGCCGAGATGAGATTAAGAAGGCTTTTCATGCTGTAAGTGCTTGTTAATAATTTTATATGATTAAATTCTTACACCATCATTCTAGTACTTTGCTCATATGCTTTTTCCTCACAACCTTGGATCATTACTAGATGCTGAATCATGTCTAAAATTTTAGTTTGAGTTGCTATACTTGTTTTGTAGTCTTTTAATATTATGATCTACTTAAGTTGATGATTGTCCACAAAATTTCAGCTGGCAAAAAAATATCATCCAGATGCGAATAGGAATAATCCTTCTGCTAAGAAGAAGTTTCAAGAGATAAGAGAAGCTTATGAGGTGTGCTTATCTTGCTAGCAGTCTAGAGAATCTTTTTTAGATCGCACTTTTCTCTCTTGTGTGCATGCATAAGTTTATTCTTGGATTGGAATGACCACTTTTATACTCCTTAAATAAGGAGAAAAGGTCTCAAATTTGGAATGTACATGTCAATTAGAAAATTCTTTGTAAAAGATAATGTTTTCACCCCTTTTTTTGTTAATTGCAGATTTTAGGAGATTCTAAAAAGAGGGAAGAATATGATAGGGTAACAACTCTCGCTCACATTGGCAATTTTATGTTTTTAACTTACTCAGTTGGTCTTTTTCATGTCCATTGCAGCTGGGGACTAATCATACAGGGGATATGGAATATGATCCTAGTGATGCTGAGAGGTTTACACGTGCTTATCGAACTCATTTCTCTGATTCTTTCCACAAAATATTCTCTGAGGTATTTTCCATCATAGTGCTTTCTATATTAAATGCGCTTAATCTGTCTACCCGAATCATCCAATACCACTACTGAAACCACGTATTAATGCAGATTTTTGAGGAGGAGACTGATCATTTTGCACCTGATATTGAGGTTAATTTTTGTAGCTTTGGGCCGGATGTTATGGCAAATTTATTTCCACTATTTCCTGTCTAAAGTGCATGTATGCTGTTTGCTTCAAAATATTGCAGGTGGAGTTGATACTCTCTTTTTCTGAAGCTGCTAAAGGATGCACAAAGGATATGTCTTTTGATGCATTTGTTCCCTGTAATTCTTGCAGTAAGTAGAACTAGTATATCTCACAATGGTATTTTTTTTGACACCACCTAGCAGCCAAACGGGCTTTTTACAAATGGGTTATTCTCAATTTTACTTGAAAGTTCATGTGAATGTTCCTTTCATAGGAACTGATGCTATCAGTCTTTTCTTTTCTATAATGTTGAGGATTTCTCTGCTTCTTTAGATTGACAACTGCGGAAAACTAAGTTTTCAGGGTAGAAACCGGGATTTAGGCTCATAGATAACACAAAAAGAAAAAGAACAACCCCCCTGATGTCATAATCTATTTAATCTCCTGCTTTGATTTGGACTTGACTGAAAGTTCTCTAATATATGTTATGGTAAACTGAATTTGTTCAAATGGACAAGTGAATTCTTTTTATGTTGATGGTGACATATTCTTTTCACCATGAAAAGTTCTAGTCATATTGATATCTATGTTGAGGAAAAATTGAACTGCTCCGTTTAGTTTGTGTACAGCTAAATTTATTTTGTTTAACATTTTTTACATGTCTGTGGTATGATGGTTATTTAGTTAATCACATTTCTTTACTCTTCATTTAGTTCTACAGTTAATGACTATGTTAACTTGTTGCTTGTTTGCTCATTGGCAGGTGGACGTGGCTATCCCGTTGATGCCAGAACAAGAATTTGCTCGACTTGTAGGGGCGTAGGGAGAGTAAGTTTTTGGATATCAAAATGCTGATGATTATTTCACTTTGTGAAGATAATACTTTCATCTGTTTTTTTTTTTTAATTTTATTTTTAAGGTTGACAGTCTAAATGAATATTCCTTTTTGCCTAATTTCATGCAACCGTGAATCAGGTTACAATTCCTCCATTTACGTCAATGTGTAGTACGTGTAAAGGGTCAGGACAGATAATTAAGGTGATGGGAATTTCAGTGAATGCTGGTGTAATTTTTTATTGTTTTCACAACTATTAATTATGTTCTATCCATCTGATTCAGGAATACTGTATGTCATGCAAAGGATCGGGGGTGGTTCAAGGCACAAAAAATATTAAATTTACAATTCCAGCAGGTTGTTTATTAATGGTAGTTTTTGGTGAAATCAGTTGAGCTTAGGCTTGTAGATAAGCATGGTTGTGTTTGGTTCTTACCAATCTATAAAAGGAAGAAGATGTTATGAATGGATTTCTTTTATCTCTTAAGTTCTAATTCCTTGTTTCTTTGTGGTCAGCTGGCAAACCCGATTCGATTATGTCTGGTCATTGAGGACAACTGTCTAGATCACTGTGTTATTTAAAATCTAAAAGATATTATTTGACTTGAATATGATTTCTGAAATCCCAGCAAGTGAAAAAAAAAAAACCAAAAATGACGGAGTTTTTATCACTGATGAGACTTTGTTTGCAATCTATCATTACCGGCTACACGTGATATTTTATTTGAATTTTTCTCAAATGAAGTCTTCGCTCTCAATTATTGGGGTAGGTGTGGAATCTGGAGATACAATACGTGTGCCAGATGCTGGTAATGCAGGGGCACGAGGAAGTCGGCCTGGCAATTTGTTTATTAAACTGAAGGTACACTTTATCTTCTTTTAGTGCATTCATCTTAATTATTGTGAAATTTATCGGAATCTGGTTCTATAGCCTGTTCGTGATGATAATAAGCTGTCAAATAAGCTTCTAAAGCAATGAGGGTGGCTGTTAAATTTGATTGAAGCACAGAGTTTACTCCATAAGCTATTTGTTAACAGATCCAATCTTTTATGTCTTTCCCTCTGTTAAGCATTCAATTTAAGATGAAATCATCTCTATCTTCTAACAAATCTTATTAGTGACATTCTGTGATAACTTACATAAAAGTGCCATATACTTCTCTATTCTCTCAGACCAAGATCTTTACTTTAATTGCAATCTCAAGGAAGAGCTTGCTAGTCAATTTCCTGATAAGTTGTGCTGAAAATTGCTCACATACTTTAGCCAGATATAAGAAGGGCATGATAGTTGGTTTCAAGTGCATTCTATTGTCTAATTGAGACATCAAAAATGCAATTAAATGAGTAGGCTGTAGCTTGAAACACCAATAAAATTATACTGTTGTTTATTTTATATAATTCAAACTGTCTTATTCCATCCCTCCACCCACTTTCCCCTTCCCCCCCACTCCCACCAAAAAAAGAAAAAAAAAGTCTGTCTTGCAGAGAACTAATAATGATTCCACTATAGGGTCCTGTCTGGATCAATCCGACCCAATTCCGTGTTGATTTCCAACAGAATTTTCATAGAAGTAACAATTGGAGATCCCATTCCCAAAAGATTCGAATTGGAATTGGAGGTAGCTCAAATATAGAAGTTTCTACCTATCAAGACTAATATACATATTCATTGGAGTTTACTAGCAAGGAATGAACATTGAATCAAAGGAGGCATAAATCTTTTAATCCTGTTTTAATTTCTCTCTCTCTTTATCAGAACACATTTTTTTATGTATATTCACGACCCTTAGTTATTGTAGTACTACCTTAGATGTATGTTTTATCTGTCAAGAAATGATATCTCGTGCTAAGAAAGAGATGAGAGTTTTTATTTGTATGACTATAATTTGTATGTTATGTCTGTAATAGTTGTTATCTGCATTCTTCTATTCCTTCTTTAGCACGTAGCAGTTTAATGGTTTTTATATGCTTATGTAGGTTGCTGATGATCCGATCTTTGCTAGAGATGGTGCAGATGTTCATGTGGATGCTAATATTAGCTTAACACAAGTAAAGAACTAAAATCCTACGTAAAATAGCACTTGTCTTCTTCTTGTTCTTTTCCTGAAAAAGAAATCTAAAGCTCCAAGTGCACTTCCAATTATATATATATATATATATATATATATATTTATAAAAATTTTATTTGGCATGAAATTTTGATATTTATTTTTTCCTTTTTTTTATTAATTTATCCAATAATGTGCTTTCCTCTCAGCTTCTAAATAACTACTTTTTACTGTTAATGGAATTAAAAATTGGTGCATGCCATCAGGTTTGCAAAAAGGCACACAGTTCCAGCATGAGTGCATACTCACACAAAAATGTCTAATGTACATGGACATATACATAAATACACATATAGATGGGCATGTTTATCTGTTTGTATGTGCATTTAGTTTTCTTGGCTTTTAAAATTATAATTACCATTATGCAGTGATCCTTTGTATTTTTTGTTTTCTTTGATCACCGATCACCATATGTTTATATGCAATGTTCATTGAATTTTGTCAGTAATTTCATGCTTGGTTCTTTCAGGCCATTCTTGGTGGTAAGATTGAGGTGCCAACTCTGTCAGGCAAGATACAAGTAAAAGTAATACTTGTTCTTTTCTTCATATCATTCTGCGACATGTTCCTCCCTTTTCCTATTGAAGGAAGCTTCTTTAATGTTTCCAGTACATGTTTTATTTTTATAGAGTTTCCAGTATTTTATTTAAAAAAAATGGTTTCCAGTACATGTGATTACGAGGAAAGGGATTGTGGTGATTGGCATTTCATCAAGTTTTTCAAAAGACAATGGTGGTTATTATCCGTAAAGCAGATTTTCTGCTCTTATTGAAGCATCAAATAATTGATTTTCTAAGATTACAGATTGATAAGTTTTAATTTGATCATGGGTTGTTGGCATGATATTCCTACAAACTAACCACGTGAAAATTATATTGCACTGGGATTGCAGCACTTTCCCTGTGAGTATGTGTTTTGTGTGTGTGTGTGTGTGTGTTTGTCAAGTGTGTTTTCCGGTGTAATTCAAACACAAGATTTTGCATGAGAAGTAACTAATTTAAACATTATCAGAAGTCTGATAATCTATATTTGCCAGAGCCTTTTGTTGCTAATAGAATGCCATCTTTATCAGTAATTGTTTATTTAAAAAAGGAACTTATCATCAGGTTTTAAAAAAATTGAGATGTTCTGTCCTATGCATGCATGCCATTCTGCCCAAGGCATGGTTTTTGACGACTATTATTCTATTCTTGCCAATTATGGCTCTTTCAGATACCTAAAGGGGTTCAACCTGGACAAATAGTTGTTTTAAGAGGGAAAGGTACACTTTGTTTTATTACTTCACGAATTTCTTTACCCTCCTTAAATGTGCTTACTGGTCAAGGTACCTGCAGGACTTCCAAAGCCTGGTTTTCTTATCGACCACGGGGATCAATATGTGCATTTTCGCATTAAGTTCCCTATGTGAGTTTTTTCACCTTTCTTTATAATATATTTTTGTCACTAAGTTCTTTATTGTTTTAGTTTCAGTGTCAATAATTGCTACTATTTGCCATTTAACATTGTTTACTGAAAATAAGAAACTTATGATGCTTGCTTCAGCTTTGTTATCAAGTTTGTTTACATGTTCTTGGCATTTTATTTTACTTCGTGTTAGGAAATAGAGGTTTCCGTTTTGTTGTTATAAGATTATGGCCAAATTTCATTTTATTATGTTGTCTCTAGTAATGCACTCTATTTATTAAAGGCCAGTAGATTTCCTGTTTATACATGGTCTACTTGGATTAACAGTTATCCTCATCTTGGAAAATTTGTGGTGCCTTATAATTGACTCGAGGTCCTTTCGTGAAGTTCCAGATTAATAGTTTGATCTTAACCCAATTTTGTTTCTTACCTACTGCAAGAGCCCTGATTTTCACTGAGTGATGGATTGGAATCTATCAGGAACTAATTATCAGTGAATGGGCTCTTTAAGATTGTCCAACTAATACTAAGATCTTTTCTAGTTCTCTTGTGGTGATTGAGTGTAAGACTGACAGTCCAAGCTGGTTTCTTTTAAGTCCAAGTAGAACTTAAACTTCTCTTTCTTTAGGCGGTTAGTCCTCTATGGCCTTAACTTTCTAGAATTTTTATGTTATCGAACCAGTCACTTCTGAGATATTTTTTTTTTGGGTGAAATCTTTCTGATAGCGAGATCTCTTTAAATCATATGTATAAATTAGTTATACCTGCCACTAAGATGTCAAGTTTATGCGTAGATTGATTTAGCTTTTATAATTACTTTGGAACACCAAATCCACTGCACATCTGAGTAGGCTTGAAGAATGCATTTTCTAATGTATATTCTGCCTTTTGATTTTATTTCTTGGTCTGCAGTACAATAAATGAACGCCAGAGGGCTATTTTAGAAGAATTTGCAATAGAGGAAATTAATAACGAAAGCAGCACTTCTACAGAAGGAAATTGGTAGGTCTTCTGGAGTATAACATCTTCTTTCCCGTCTATATACTTAGCTTTCTAATTTTTGTGTGCTTTTTTTTTTTTAATAAATAATTTGTGTACTTTATCTGAAAATCTCTAGTGTAAATGAAAAATGATGAAAAATCTACTACAATATAATAAAATTTGATTTCACGAGAAGTTTTAAGTATAACTGAGACAATATATTCCAAATTCAATCAAAACTAAGAAATTTAGAATGCACAAAACTATTTTTATAATTTTCGATAAGACGTTTAGCATCTCCAAAGTAAAGCTAGGTTATGTTTGGAATTGATGAACTATATATGTATTGTTCAATTGGAAGATAGAATAAAAGACCTTGGCAGAGCTATCCAATCACCCTCGGCAAAGACCTCAGCCGACCAGTTACTTGCTGGTGAGGGCTTAATTTTTTTTTTTCTATATTTAATGATATTAATATTAAAAGAAATTAATTAATTATAATAATTTAAGATATTCAAGATACTAACTAAAGAATATTAGTTATAAAATTCATCATCTTTTTTAACTTGTTAAGTAATTTGTACTGTCCAATTATAATAGTAAAATAAGAATGCATTGACTCGAACCTTAGGGGGTTGATGAATCCTACTTGAAGCTAAATTGATGCCTTGAAGCATATAGGGCACAAACAAATCAGTTGGTTTTTAGTTCAATCTCAGCATTGGCTGAACTTACATCTTGATGTAGTTGTTTCTTTAGTTGTTATCATTTTGGTTGTAATGAAGATCCTGAAATGGACAACAGGCTTTATCAGCAGCTCTCTACTGGTTGAACTTACAGGTGGCAGCAAATTCTTGCACTTACTACAAGCTCTAAGTTTATACTTCAGTTTTCTGCGCTGTTGCTGATCATGCTCTTGATGAAGAATGTGATAGGTTAAACCGAGTCGACCTGAGTGGAGTTGGATGAAGGTAAGAATTCCAATTGCTAATGAATACTAACATGGAAGTTTGTCCTTGTCTCATTTTTTTCGACTGGAGGTCCATGTTGGTAGAGGTTATCAATACAAGCTGATTGCAAAATAAGTCGATTGCTTTCCCCTTGGGTTTTCTGCAATATGGTAACCCCACTTACATGATACTGCTGTACAAGCACATTTTGATTTACTTCTATAATGATATAAAGTTAATTGATTTACTGGTGGGCAAAAGTTCCTTTTTGTTGACAATCCAACATAATGTATAAATAATTAGTTAGCGATGCAGCAAGGGCAATTAAGCCTTGTAATTTTTTTTGGCCAAATTCATTAAACATGTATCCCAAAATATCTTTTTAATAAATTCAAATGCGAACATATTTAAGGGTCATTTGTAAGTTACTCTTATGTCAAATTACCTTTGGATAGTTTTGTCAATTCATTCTATTAGTTTGCATCTTCATTTGTATTGGAATGTATAGGATCTTTTTAAAAGTTATTTTTTTTTTGGTCATCTGTCAATTGTATGAAGGACAAATTTTAAGACACTCAGAACTACAACTTTTTGGAATAGAAGAAAGAAAATGCACCACCCAGACCATACTCAATTGTATGATTTCTTTAAGAGTCATTTGAAGGATAATTGTTGGTTGAAATTTATAGTAGCTCAGTGGGCAAAGCCTCCACAAGATGTTTAATGGTCTCATGAATATATGTAATGTTTTGCTTACTCTGAAAAAATGGTGGAAAATGTAAAAGTTTAAGAATTTTGCAAATACATTCATATGGTTACAATTAAGCTACTTTTTAATTTGATAAAATAAACTGAGGACTTCACTAATAAACAAAGCAACTCTGTTCTAATTTGGCTAATGCATCAATCAATGATGTCGTAGTTTATGCATGCAATTACATTAAGTGCTTTTTAAGGGGAACAAATTATTGTCTTAGGAAGAATAAGAAATATCACTAAGTAGTTGGAAACTTCAAACATAAAAGACTTACAAAATATATGAACCAAAATGCCAATAAGGTTCTCCAAAACTCCATAGTTCAAATTATGATTTTGGGTCGAAACCAATGATTTCTAATCATATCAAAAGGAAGGAAATCATCCTTAGAATTCCTCTTTTCATTTCTAAATGATCCACATCATAAACATAACAATGAACTAAAGCAAATTCCTACCAAATTCCACATTCCTTATCCCGACCAAGTCTACAACTCATGCTCAATCGAAGCAGGCACCGACTCTATCATGTTTAGAAAGCGAAGCAGGGAATTAATTCCACAACCTCCTGGTCTCCTAACACCAAGGGGGAGATGAGGAGAATGTGATTTGGTGGACACTATTGCTGGTTTGATTAGAATCGGGGTTATAATAACAAGGAGGTTGCAGGTCTCCGCTTGGTTGATGCAGAGAAACATGCTTTTTTTTTCTCAGCTCTTGTTTTTAGAATATGCTTGAAACTCCCAACTGTGAGAGAATGTATACCTGAGTGGGATAAACTTATGGAGCACGACAAAGGCTTCCATGATATATTAACAGGGTAATCAGCCTGAATTCTTTGCCACCTTTCGGGATTTCTTTTGTCTCCAGATGCCTGCAAATCATCATCTATATTATATCTGAAAATCGTTAAATGTATAACAACTTCTACAAGACCTTTGCACAATTACAGGGTGATGAGGCAGTTCAAATTGATAAAAAGAGAAATTACTTTACTTGATGAGTGAACTGTTTACCTCTACCGTTACATTAGTTTGTAAGTGATGTTTTGTACAAATTTTTTTAAGAATAGCATTTTTCAAACAATCAATACCAAGTACATATTGCCGATAGAGTGCCAAGATCTCACCAGGTTATTTTTCTTTGGCAAAAAACTCAGAACTCCTTGTTACCTGTAAGGAAAGGTAAAAAACTTGACTTCTCTAAATAACGAGAAAAATCCTTTCCATTTTATTAGTCAAGCACATTAACTGAAATCTTTCTAGAAGGCACTGGATCACCTCTTACTGATAGCACCGTCACACGCTGACACTCAATTAGTAAAGCTAGCATGTCATTTGGCTCCTTGGCTCACTTCACTTGCAATGACTTTCCCTTGAGCATCTGTCTCAGCAACAAAAAAGGCCCAGCCGAAGTGTTATCTATCTGCCAGTAGATCTGCAAATTTCATGAAGTTCATTGTGTCTCTTTAAAAATAATGTAGTATGAATATTCATAATGATAAAAAAAAGTGACACCAAGAAACAGCTCTACTTTACTAAGCAACAACCAATCAACTACCTTGAACAAGGAGATGTTTGAATATTGGTAGGATAATCTGTCATGATTTCGTTCCTTGTAATATTATCTATTCTCTTGCACTCTCACGCTTGCATAGACTTGAAAAACAGGCAGAAGTCTCACCATTCATCTCTATTTTATCCTTCACCATCATTTTAAGAATGTTGAAAGCTGGTCTTTGAGCATTGATATGCATTCTTAGCAACACTTTATACAATGGTAAACTTGCAAGACCAAAATGATGAATCATTCTAATAAGATGGTTTGCATGTTGGAAATTCCCATGCTTTTCATAATATTCTACTATGGACATTAAAATGGCTTCTGATGGTCTCCAGTGACAACCTTTCATCATAGCAAATGATTTCTTCATGGCATCAATAGCTTTTTCCATGTCTTGGCTTCTCACCCATCCCTCCATTAGAATTTCCCATGTCTTATAATTTGGGCAGCCGCCTTTCTCCAACACGTACACATGGAAGGCCTCAGCTTTCTCCATCAATCCGTTTCGGACATATGCAGCCAAAAGGACATTAGAGACTCGGACATCGTAGTTCTTACAATTCGACTCCCATTCAACGAAAACCTTCTCAGCTTCTACAAGATCTCCCAGCTTCACCAGACATGACAGCATACACATGTAATTCCCACATGTCATCCTTCCACTTACGGACTTACAAGCTTCCCAAACTCGAATAACTCCCTCCTTGTTGTTAATGGAGACATACATGGTAATAAGGAAGAAATATCCAAGGTGCTTACTGGTATTTAGCTTCTTCTCTGCATTTTTGAGAACCAAAACTGCTTTCTCAACCAAACCAGCCTTTACATAAACATTGGCTAATGTACACAACGTACTCCATCCAACTTCAACATTCCCATTATTCATAATCTCTCTGTAAATTGCTTCAACCGCAGCAACTCCAGAGACTTCACCGCAAGCATTCATCCACAAGTTGAAAGACAGAATATTTGTGGGTATCCTATTTTGCTTCATTTGCATGATCACAGCAGGCACTTTATCATACTGAGAAGTCGCCATGTAAAGCTTCATCATCTCATTGAATGGGTGCGGACTCACAAGTAATCCCAACTCATTTAGCTTCATCATAAGAGACTCGGCCTTTTCAACTGCTCGTTCTTTAACATAACCATGAAGAAGCGGCAAAGAGGCTGCTTTCTGGTTTGCGGTGCCGCGTATTTGGGAGAAATACTCTTCAGCTTCCGTTAAACCCTGGACTTTGAGGATCAATTCTATCCTAGTAGCATGATCAGCTGACGAAATCTGGAAACCTTTTTGAGCTTCCATCCACTTCATTATCTGGATATGAATCAAATAATAGAACATGTAAACAGAGCATCACATATTTTAAAGCCACATGACCTTATCAAATACTAAGATTCTACATCAACATCTTTAGTATAAGAACCCGACATGCGCGAAATTTAAAGAGTTCGAGCAACATAGCTTACCAAAATCTCCACCAGCCTAATATTTACAATAATTTCAGAAACGTTTCCGCAATAAACATAACGCCGCAATAATAAAGTAACACAGGGATAATAGAATACTAAAGAGACGGAAATTGGAACCTCGAGAGCGTGATGGTAGCGCTTGGATTTCTGGAGCTGCAGGGAGATGAACCGGAGCTCCGAAATGGTGACCTTGTGGCCCGACTTAATCCAGTCCTGGAGGACGGCAATGGGACTGCGAGTTGGAGATTTGGATCTAAGAATCTCACTCTTGATGCTTTTTTTCGTAATAGTAGATTTCATCGATGATTCCTCGACAGAATGAGTTGAAGCTGCGAGTGAGCATAGGAGTCTCCTGTAACTCCCCACTGCTTCCGGCTGAAACCTACTGCGCAGTTTCATTGCTGAGCCGCTGCTTACTTTAAGTACCTACAGTAAATAAAGGAGGCAATTTTGAGAACGACCCTCCCGGCGAATGGTTACAGGCTTCGGCATTGAAAGATAAAAACGCAGAAGGGTAAACAAAAATAATAATTTAATTTTTTATTTTATATAAAATTTATTCAAATGTGATAAAGGGTAATTTTTTTAAAAAAATTTGCAGCTATAAAATAATTAAAAGAATTAAATTTATAATTCTAAAATTTTTTGTGAACTAATAATTATAAAAGCCAAAGTAATTTACTTGAAATTGAACTAATAGAGAAGGAAAGAAGTTAAACGCAACCAAACAAGTTTACAAACTTAAACAACTAAAAAAAGGAGTCTTTACCAAGAGACTGAAAATGGTTGAATGCATGAGAGCAATGGCGAACTTAAACCTCTCAAAAATTCAACTCAACACCACAAAATTTCCCTCGCCGAACCTCTCGTTCCCTTCTTCTGAATCAAGACCCAAATCCAAAAATTACCCAAAATTCTCTTTATCAGCACTTTTAAGCCAAAGCCAACAGCAACCTTCTTTTGATGGATTGGTAAGCAGTAGCCGCAAACATGATGTTCTTGACGCCATTAAAGGCTCGCTCTCTAGTTGTTTATCGGAAACCAATCTTCATCTCACAGTTCCTGGTCTTAAATCCAAAACCAGAGGCAAGGTACTTGTGTTCTTTCTTTTGATTTCGTGTTTGGTTATGAAGCCAAAAGTGGGTTACTCTGCTGAAATAAAAAAAAAGCAAACCCTTGCTTAAAGTATCACCCCTCTTGCTTCTTTACATGATTTTTCAGGTGAGGGATATTTATGATGGTGGGGATTATCTGGTTCTGGTGACAACTGACAGGCAAAGTGCATTCGATAGGATTCTGGCTTCTATTCCCTTCAAGGGTCAGGTCTGTTCGCTTGGTTATTTTGATTTTTGGGTTTATTATCTAAAAGACCGAATATATTTCTTCAAGTTTGCATTTTTAACATGTAATACAAACATTTATGAAATTAGAACATAAAAGGAGTTTTTTTTTTTCTTATAATTCAGACAAATGTCTGTTAGAATAATTTTGATGTTAAAAGAGGAAAAAAAAAACTTGTTATAGTTTTCTTTTTGTTTTGCAACCTTAATTTGATGCATTTTAAAAGCACAAGACACCAGTAAATTATCAGACATTAATTTGAAACATCCGTAAAATCTCCTTTATATTTTTTCAATTCATGAAGTTTAACTGGAGCATTGGACATGGATTATTGCTGTGTATGGTTTTGATGATTAACAATGATGGTGGGGCATGTCCCTAATTGCAAATTTCAGGTACTTAATGAGACAAGTTTGTGGTGGTTTGATAAAACTCAACATATAACACCTAATGCGGTTGTATCAGCTCCAGATAAAAATGTTACAATTGCAAAGAAATGTTCAGTCTTTCCTGTAGAGTTTGTTGGTAGGTGTCTGATATATTGCTTTTCTTCCATTTCCTTGCTAATTCATTTAAATCTACAGTTACCAGCCTTCTTCACAGAGGGAAATGGTTAGTTTCACTCTGTAAAAAGTTTCTACAATTTTTCCTTGATGTCTATTTCCAAAATCCTGGAATGAGTATATGATTTGTTTGAATTATTTAAAATTTGATCCAAAATCAGATTTTTGAGTATATTGATTTGAGTCTATTTACCTATATAGATAATTAATATTACCTAAGAGCCAGTTATCCTTCGTTTTAGAGATTATCATTTGATCAATATATATCTGCATTAACTAGTCTATGTTTTACTGATTTTGAGCAGATTTCTTCCATGATCAACAAACTAATGTTCAACCTTTTCTTTTATGATGTCTTCGGAAAAAAAAAAATCCTCTGTGGTTGGTTACTCACTCCATGGTCGCATAAACTATAAATTTCTGCAATCTGGAAGTTGGGAAGAAATTTAAAGAATGATTTTTCCCTCTTTTACTCTTACATAAGTTTAACAGCACATCCAAGGGAGCTTTTTGTATGCTTAAGTTTAGGAGGAAGTTTCATGGATGGTATGAAAGATATAAACTAGTAAGGACCAACTTAATGTAATTTTCTTTCACTACCATTAATCTTTTTGTGCAATTGTATAGCAGGTTTTGCTGACTGCACTTTTGCTTACGAGAAGCTTAATAACATTCCTGACTAGGATATAATTATTTTGCATTTTGCATTTTGTTTTTGTTTTTGTTTCTGTTTTTTTTTCTTTTTTTTGGGTAACGAACCGGTTGAAGTTGATGTATTTATTGTGCAGTGAGAGGTTTTGTAACTGGAAGTACTGATACATCACTATGGACAGTTTACAATAAAGGTGTTCGAAATTATTGTGGCAATGTACTCCCAGATGGTGCAGTCTCGATATCTACCATCAACTTTTTCCTTTTTTTTTTTTTTAATAAAGACATTCTTGACCTAAATTCCTAGTAATATGTTATAGGGTTGGTAAAAAACCACAAGCTACCTGCAAATATACTTACGCCAACAACTAAGGCGGCAGATCATGATGTTCCTGTTACTCCTCATGAGGTTTGATAATCTATTTTCTAATTTAACATTTTCAAAATGTAGGAAAATGCGAATGACAAGATTCTCATTGGTAGAATGAAATTGCAATGGGTTCCCACCAAATTGTTGATTATTTATCTTACATCTGTTTGATGGTCGGCTCATGTGATGTATTATTCTTGCAGATAGTTAAACGAGGACTGATGACTCAAGCTGAGTTTGATGAAGCAAGTAGTAAGGCTTTGAGTCTATTTGAGTTTGGACAGGTGACTTGGACCCTTGCATAGCTCTAGATGCTTGAACGCAAATATACCCTTTTTCCATGTTTAGAATTTTACTTTATGCATTAAGTTTCTTATTAGAATTCTAGTCATTGCAATCTTGCTATACTTCTATCTTCTGTTCATTCATATGTAGGGTGTCCTCTGCTTATTTTGAAGTAGCATTCACTGATTTCCTTATTTTTTATTCGGAATCATTCCTGCTGAATGGTTTGATTAATAATATTTTTCCAGTCTAGTTTTTTTGCCATGAGAGTTTGCTTAGTTTATAACCTTTTATTATGGTTGCAAATCGTACTAACTCATTATTTTTTCTGTCTTGAAGCGAATTGCTCTGGAACATGGCCTACTATTAGTTGATACAAAATATGAATTTGGAAAGGATTGTGATGGTTCTATTGTTTTGATTGATGAAGGTTGGTCATCATTCCCAAAAAAAGATTTCATAGCTCTTTGGATCTCTCTTTCTATTTTTTGAGTTGTTGTCTCTGTTTCTCCTTGTTTGCAATTCTAGGTGCATACACCAGATTCAAGTAGATATTGGATTGCCCATTCTTATGAGAAGAACTTTAAGGAAGGTCTTGAACGTGAAAACGTTGATAAGGTTACTTAATTATTCTGATGTTTGCCTCTCAAATGCAACTTCGGATCATTTTCTTTTTCCTTTTTGGTTGCATAACCAGTACTCAAAATTTTGCATTTCTATCTTTTAGGAATTCTTGAGATTGTGGTTCAAAGATCACTGCAATCCATATGAAGATGAGGTATTTTCGTATCAAGATAACTTCCATTTCTGCTCCACTTTTTGTCTATCTGAGACTTGCGCAAAAATGATTCGGTTGTATGATTGTTAGGTCCTCCCTGATGCTCCTGAAGAACTCGTTACCGAGTTGGCTTGGCGGTAAGTATTTCTTGTTGTAATGAACTTTAACAAGTTAAATGTTCCTCATTTTGTTACTACGAGGAGGAGGAAGACTACTCTTCACAAGTCTTATATTGCAGTGTCAGATAGAATGTAATGGTATGGGCATAAATTTTGTGGACTAAGAGGTCTTCAAATCTTTAGTTTGTCGGAAATGATGCCCTCATTGTTACATACCCCGTTTAAGCAGACAACATTTTATGCAGTTGGTGCTTGTTGCTGTTTCCAATTTTTTTTTTTTTTTTAAAATAAAGGAACTGTTTGCAACCTTCCGTCTGCGACGATCATTTTGCTTTTTTGTCTTTAATGTATCTCATGGTTAGTAGAGATGATCGGCTGTCAAAAATTTACTTTTCGCTCTCTGTGTTCTTGTTATCTTTTCCTGTATATAAGAATTTTTTATGATCCTTTATGATGTTTATTCTTTAGAACTGATGTGAGTATTTTATGGCAGATACATTTTCTTGTACGAAACAATAACAAAATCAAGTTTTGAAATACCACCAATGGAGGTAAGATTACTTGTCCCGAGTTCTTTTTTTTCAGTCTATCTATAAGACTATTAAGAAGAGATTATATGTAAAATATAACCAATTCTTTCGTTTTCTTGATGTTGCAAGATGTTTTAATGAGTGAAATTTTTAAAGGAGTAGGTTAATTTGGCACGACGAGATAGTAAACAGTACATGTACGGTTATAACTAAAACTACGATATGTAATCTGATACAAAAAGCGAAGAAGTTGAGTGATTTTTTTGACAGTGTCATTGATTTTTTTTTATCTGATCAATTTTAGGGGATAAAATTTTTATACCTTCATGCAGGAGCCAATACATGATCGGATCTCGCGAAATGTTTCGCTGGCACTTCCATCGTTGCGATAGTTGTTGAGTTTCTATGAGGGAAACAACAATCAGAAGAGTGGTTTCATGTCTTTTAGCTTTTACTGTTTGTTTATAGAGTAAGAAATTAAAATATTGCGGCAGCCATAAATGAGTAGTTGAGTTTTTACATGAAAATTGTATTTGAAGTTCATATTTGACACCTTTAAAGAAATGTAGTGTGGCTTATTTTTCTATTTCAAGCTTTTACTCGAGTTTAATTTTCTATTGAACTGTTGAAAATTTTATGAAACTATAATATTTTATATGGAATTAAGAATTTAATTTACTATCATATTAATAGTAATTTAATTAAAATTTAACAAGTTAATAATATTTTGAAAGGACTAAAGAAATATAATATGGTGATTAAATTATTTTAATTGGATAGTTTTACAACAAATTAAAATTTTTTTTTTTTGAATTAACAATTTATTTTTTTTAAAATTAAAATTTAGCAAAATTTAACATGGTTTTTTGGTAGTAACAAAAATTATGTCCATTCATAAATAAAACTTAATTTATGATAATTTACTATAGTGCCAAATCGTCTTCTAAATTTTTCCCAGTTATGTCATACCATTCTTCAATGTGTATTCTAAAGTTAATATCGACCAAGAACCAATCGAATTTACAAAATATCACAACAAATAACTTCGCTAACCTTTCAACACAGGTGCACAAATGGTGCACAATGCATAAAGATCGTGTGTTTAAGTTCTAAATTTTCCAAACATTTCAGGACCTAATCACTTTTAGATTTCTTCTATCACCGCACACAGAATTTGAAAGTGAACTTAGCCTTTTGTAATCGGTAATCAGTTTCAAAACTTCAACAGCCTCTTTCAATCTTCTCCCCGCGTTCCCTCTAGCAGCCAGAACCCTGGTGTTCCTGCACGGAAATTGGATTAACCGAGGTTAACTAGTGGATAATGGTTTTGATATTTCTTCATCGTAAATTAGTTCGAATTTTACATCTGAAACAAATTCAGAAATTTTATGGAATTCACTCATAAATTTACACTTGGTTCAATTATAAAATGATGTAAGTTCCGTTAAAAAACGATAAAAGTTAAAACAACATAGAATGTCACATGGAACTGGAAGAATAAATTTTGAAGTCTTGTCAATTCCATGTGAGATCCTATGTAAAGTGAGTTTTATCATTTGAAGGAAACTTTTCACCTTTCTATAATTGAACTGTGTAAATACAAATGATTTTCATAAAAATCATGAATTTGCTCCAAACATAGCTTAATAAAAATATTGCAGAACAAATGAAGTTATTCTTCCAAAATTCCAACCTCTTGTCAATGGTTGTCTTCCTCGAAAGTTCTTCAACCAGATTGTGTAACCTTTTCACAAGGGCAGGAAACCTGTGCACTGCTTCAATGCCTTCAGCGTTGGAACACATCTTCTTGAGAATCTCAGAAGCAATGAAATAACCTTCCTCCTTGTTCCTAGAGAAGAGAGAAAAATTGCCAAAAAAGGTAAATAGATTCAAGAATGATGAGAAAACATCATCATAATCTTAGACATTCAGTGCATGGAAAAAATACCTGAGCAACTCCCAAGTAATGGTTTCCACTGATTCTTGACTGTTAATTAGCACTTCAGTCAAATGTGGGTAACGAACAAGGTTTCTGATAGTTGAAAGGGCATGCTTTAGAACTTCCTGATCAGGAATGCTTCGACTGACAGAGTGGATAAGAGTCAGTAAGATATCAATTGCCCCAGCAGCCACAAGTTCCTCGCAACATTTCTGAGAAAGTCTTGTCGCATTATCTGTAAGAAAAATAAACATTTAAGTAAGCATGCAACATCTGCAAAATGTTATTACTTATTCCATCATCTTTGCTTCATTCATTACTTGTGTAATTAATGAGTTTCCGCAAAGCTTCTTGCATAACCAAAATTATATTGTGTAAGAAGCATTGAGAATCCATATACTTTCTTATCCAAAAAGGATAAAAAATCCAACAACGAATGCCTACCATGCTGCTTTCTAGAAATTACTGATAAAGAATAACCTTTTTTTAATAAACATTGATGAGTAAGTTTTTACATACAAGAAAGGCCAAGTCTCACCTAAAGTTGCACAAGTATGAAGAATGCCCCTCACACTTTTCATGTTCCGTAGTTCTGTAACTGCCAATAAAAGCTTGTTGATAATGCGCTTACTATCATCCACATTTGTGGCAGATTTCTGCATTCTTAAACGCAAATCCAGTAGCTCCTCTCTTGACTCTTTCCGTACAATGTAACCTCTCCAATATGACTGTCAAAATTGTAAAAATGAGGAAGAAATATAACCAGTTGAGCTAAAAAATATTATACATGGTGAATATTTGGCTACATTTTGAATAAATGCAAAATTTGCATAATTCATTCACAAATTAACGATTATTTTAACTAAAAATAGAACATGTCATGACAATTAAATCAGTACATTGCAAATTCTATAAAAATTAATAAAATCTAGGATGCATCCATCAAATTTCAATAAAATTCCATATAAAACTTGACTTTTATAACATATTAAGAGACATGTTTTCCATGCAATAAAACCTATTATGTTTTCCATGCTTAAAAATAGTGAGATTTGCAAATCAATTCTCCACAAATTCCAAATTTGTTTCAAACATGTCCTTGGTTTATCTGAACAAAAATTACCAATCCTGGCAGTTGAAAACAATCACAATCCTCCAAGCAATAACCGATTGATCATATCTGAAAGAGATATGTCCAAAATAGATATTCTAACTACAAACCTAATCAAAAGGAAATAGAGCAAAACCTCAACCACAAAAGTGTATTACAAACGTAGCTGCGTATTTATTCATGATCCCAAACAGATCAAGATCCTGCTCTTATTTTATTTTCCTAAAAGACCATATTATACCTGTAAGTATTTGCAAACCGCTAGTGTTTAGATACTCTTAACACAATTTTATTTGCCAAGTAGACCTTCAAAATCATGTTATAGCCGTAAGTAGTTGTAAACACCTTCCGTTTAGATAGTCTAATACAAGTATTGGCCTCCAAAATTCTAGAACTCTCTAAGCTCCTACTCAACTTTAAATTTGTTCTCTAGCCTTTGGAACAAATGAAGAACATTTGTGGAATTTATCTGTGAACTCATTTTTAGCCCAGCTAGAAAAGGACGTAAATTATGCTAGAATGACAAGAAAACTAGGGGTGACAGTCCATTTATTTGATCGATTTGGTCTAAAAATGTATAGTGGCCAAGTGAGAGGCAATCTGTTTTGGTCCTAATTCAAATAATTACAGCAATAGAATAATCCGTTTTCTTTTGTTTGAGTTGTATTTAAATTTTATATGTTCTGCCATGTTAGTTTCTGCCCATTATGTCTGTTTTTGTTTAATTTTTTACAGCTATTACTATCATCTCAACCTACAATATGTAACTTATATAAAGCGCTAATGAAGGAACAAAGAAATATGCAGTAAATTCAGTTTTTTGAATACTTCCTAGTTCAGGGAGATTGTTGAGTTGTCTCTAAATGAGGCCAAAATCATTTCAGTAAGCATAGTCAGAAAGAAAGTTGCAGCAATCACATTCTGCAAATTTTCTTTCTAATTTCTAAATTTCAAAACCCATAATCAGGATCCTAAATAAGGTACCATATCATTGCTTACTTGTATCAGGATGATTGAATGCATTTTTCTAGAAGCCTTTTGTTTAGCAATCCACCCTCGAATATGTCTCTGAATGATAATTGCTGCACTTCTTGATTTAAGTGACATAACATTCTTCCACCACCTTTGCAGTTTTAGAACAGAACACACCACTATTTTCATCTCAAGATCCTGGCAAGGGCTTCCAGAAATATGAAACTTGTAATTGGTAATGGCTGCAAATTTACATGACGGCCCTGTAATACAGCAACACCTAACTCATTTATACTATCTAGAAAACCACAACTTGAAAATAAGAGAACTGAAGTCTAGAAGAAATATGCTTAAGCACCTAAGAGCCTTTTTCGAGCAATCTGCCCCCGGATGAACCGTTGAATTTCAATAGCTGCATGTTTGTGGTGATGAAATGACTTCTTATATTCCAGCCATCGGAAGGTACTTTGGATTCTTTTTGCAGCCTCCCGCCGTAACAAAAAATCTTTTTTTGCTACCCAACCACGATAATATCTCTTGATTCAGGACACGATAATGATTCAATATGTTAGCAGCAGGAAAATAGAAAATCACTTAAAATAAGGCATGTTTTCTGGAGTATTGAGAGTTCATAGTGGAACAAAAACACAAACACAGATACGACACTTTGACATATGAATGCAGGCATCATGTAGATGGACATACAAGCAAACAAACTGGCTAAGCCATAACCTTCTCCTGGAAGTGTATTTGAGAAGCACCCTTTTGTTCTGTCATGAACAAAACGAAATATACAATATACGAATACAATAGCAGATAGTTCCTAAACACAGGAGAAAAGAAGAAAATATTATATGAATAAGATTTTTAGAACTACCCAAAAATAAGTTACATGCAAACAAGCCAATCAAAGATGTGACAAACAACTTACTTGGATTACAATAATAAAATACTTATATCTCTGAGCTTCTTTGCGTGCAAACCATCCCCGCACATGAGATTGAATAAGGATGGCTGACCTAACTTGAGATTTATATTGCTGGAAAGTCCTCAAGCATCTTAGGCATCTATAATCACTTTGGATTCTTGTAATTGCTAGCTTCTGATTCAAAAATCTCTTCCTTACCAACCAACCACGAAAATAACTTTGAATTTTTGTCGCAGAAAGGTTTTGATTATGGACTTTGTAAAAAGTAAATTTCTTCCAAGAAAGCTGAATTTTAACTGCTGCTTCTACTTCAAGATCTCTCAGACCCTTTTCTTTGAGCAAAGCTGAAGCTTTCACCATCTGACTGTTCCGATTGTCACAGCTTGTTCTTACTTTCCAACCATGATTATTTTCCGGAATAGCAATGTTATTATTCATTTGATCAGGAGTAGATGCATCGTGATTTATCCTTTTCTGCTCCCTGTACCTTCGAGCTAACCAAATCCTTGTAGCTTTCTGAATGAGCAGTATTGATCGTCTTACTTTGATAAAATCATGTCTGTCAACAAAGAACTTGGTATATCTCACTAATGTGTCTGAACTTCTCCACCTTTCTGTATGATTTTAACAAAAAGATTAAACAACTATGTTACCTGTTACCAATGTAAAAGTACATATATTTGTAGTGTTGAAGAAGAAAGAATACCACATGCGAGCTCCAGATCTTTGAGGGCATCAAACTTCTCAACTCTAGCTTTCTGCTTCACTTTCAACCAAAGCCGGATACAAATTTGCAGTAGAGAAATCGCATTCATCATCTTCATAAATTTGTGACGGTCAATAAAGCGCCTAATATGAGACTGTATGATTGTTGCTGCATTTTCTGGAAACAAAATGTTGGTATTGCAACAGCAGAAGAGTAATGTTACTAAATTTATATTCATTAGATGACAAAACAGGTTGATAAACATAAAAAGTCATGGTTGTGAAGTAAACTTAGAATTGGCAAGCATAATAAAGGCTCAACAGAAGTATCATTGTCATGGCAAGTACTATCAAGTAAAACAAATGGGAAAAAACCAAGCTGTTAAACAAATAGACCGCTTAAAAGAACATCAGGATGGAATTTTGCTAAAGATACAGAAATAATTGTAAAATGAAATTTCCAGAAAACATAAAAGTAGACATAATCACACAGGATATTTATCTTGTAACTATGCTTTATAAGACTCTGATCAAACAGAAACAAAAGACAATCCATGGAAATAACCTTTTTGAATGTTAATATTGCCTCTTCTGGTTAAGAAATGCTGTTGGGTAGAACTAGGTGCGGTGATAAGATAATTGCAGTTCTGTTGAGTCATCTCTTGCCACCAGGCTTGAATTGCCTTAAATCTTTTAGCAGCATCTACAAAAATATAAATATGAGAATGATAATCATGGCATAAACCAGTTTTAAAATGCCTTAGACTTTATTCTTAATTCTTTTTTTTTGAATTACAATCTAACATATATTTCACACCTCTTGTATTCATAACATCAACTCACTGGGGACAACACTAGCATGCCAGAACCATGACTTACAAAGCTAAGCCAAGTACAAATGTCGAGCAACTGAATGTTTTAACACTTTTGTTTTTTCAAAAAGTCTGGACCTAATGTCATCTCCCAAAAGCAAAGGCTGAGGAGGGAAATCTTATGCACTCATAATTAAGCATCTATGCTTGAAAACTTGATCCCTGGTTCAAAATTGCCTCTGAACACTATACCAAAAGAAAATGCCCACCTAGTCTAGGCATAATTTATCTGAAAAAATTACGCAGATCTGCTGTTTCTTTTAAAAAGAATAAAGGGAGGAACCTTCAATCTCCTGCCCCTTTCTTTCCTCCTTATCAATTGCAGCTTTAGAGCTGACAAAAACACTTCTTGAGTGCCTCTTCTCTAGGGCTTGACAATTACCACACAAGAGCTTGTGAAAATTCAACCGATCCTGATAACAGAGATTAAGTTAAAATACACTCTCAAAAAGTATGGCTAAATCCAATCATCATTCAGCAAGATACTTTTAGTGCTACCATATTTTCCTTGATAGTTAGTTGTGATGCAAGGAATGCCAACAGAATCATCACACTCCTATCACTAACTGGACCATTATACTCAAGTAAGTCGCTAATTTGCAAAACCTGTAGGGGCAATCATAATAGACAATATAATATGTCAGTGTATATTCAGGATAAACAAAGAGAGCTGAAAGTTGAAATATCGGAACTACAATGTGAATGTTCACTCGGTAACAAGCACCTTAGAATTTTAGGCTTAACTTGTCATTTGTGTTTCCCCAAGAATTTTAATGTGTCTCTATTTGACTAGCTTTTTGAGGAGAAAAATCAAAATCTGCTATGATAGGATAAGAGAAAGTAAATTAGTTTAAACTAAATCTTACCTCAGGAAAGTTACCCAACAGTGCAGTTAATTTTTGTGACAAAATGAAATTATGTACTGCATCTGTATGATCAGTGGTAGAGACAACTGATTGTTCACCTTTTGTTTTACAAGAATCCTGATAGAAGGGATAAAAGAGAAAGTAAAGCAAATTCATATTTAGATATCTTTCCAAGAACCAAATAGAAAGATTTTAGAGTACTAAAAGTCTACAATAGATTGGGTCTTTTCCTCAGTATAACCTTCTCCTAAGTTGGTCACAGTTAATTATTAGACCTAATATCAAAACCAGAGATCTACAGGGCTCAAATCTTGGCTATTCCATTCTGTTTATTAAATTTCAGCATAAGATATTCAATCTAGCAGGATTCTGCATGAAGGAAACTACTAGAGTTTTTATGATATATTGGACTACTTATTGTCAACTTAAGTTAGATAATTAACTGTAACTAATTATTTGACATAGAGAGTACATACCTCTTTACAAAGACAAGGACAAAAATATTCTCTCCGGAAGTAAAAATCAAGTAAGCACCAAATGGCCTTTCCATCAACCAATGACGAAAAGTTCTCTACTCCAATGTCATACTTTCCACTGATTGCCTATATGAAACATGCTAGTAAAATTAGGAACTAATAGTAAGGAAATGAAAAATTATCGTTTTATATCCAACAAAAAAAATGAAAACATAAGATTGTAAAATGAAAGCACAAAAGAGTAAATTACAATAACTTGCGAAAGAGATGGGAAGGAGGCAAGGGACGAGATTGAGGAAGGATGAATAAATATATACGCATTAGGTTCTTAATATGAATTTTTCTTGTTTTCTTGGTATTGATTTGTTGATGAGATAATTATACAAGAGGTCCATCTTCACGTAGGATGTGAAAACATTCCAAACTAGTACTGTTCCCTATATAAATTACATTCCAAACAAAGGACTTAAATTATGTTCCTCATCCTCCCTCAAGTTTCTCCTCGGACCAACTGTCCGTGAAGATATCCACAAGTTACTCTTGAGTAGGAATGCATCTAACTTGTAGAAGGCCTCAGAGAGCACATCCATGAACAAATGTATGTCCAGTTCAACATGTCTAGAGCAGGCAGGCTGAACTAGATTAGATGCCATGTAAGTAGGATTGACATTATCACATAAAAGAACTGAATATTTTGAAAGCAGGAAATGTAATTCAGCAGGAGATTATTCCTCTATGTAACATCAGCAAAAGCAGAGGCCACAGCTACATATTCAGCTTCGATGTTAGAGCATGATATAGTTAGTTGTTTCTTTCTATCACAAGAGAAGAGGTTGGACATAAAGAAGGTGAAATGCTGAGCGAGGAGTTCCATCTGGCCCGAGAAAGAAAGAATATCTGTACCTGAGTGTTCCTTTAGACCTCTACATGTGGGTTTCTCAAGATCTTCTAATCTGCTGCGCACCGTTCTATCTCAGCCTTGAATTTATTGACATCAGTAGTTTTTTCTTCCCTCCTTCTAGTGGACCACATGGGCTGTGTATGAGATTTTTGTGGAGTGTTATTGTAACGTTACTTCTTGCTTGAGATATTGGGGTTGCCATAGAGTTTCCATATTTATTTTTTGTGCTTCTGGACTTCTTGCAAGAAGTATGCCAAAGATTATTTTTGCTGTCAGCACTAGAGCTAGAATTTCTGCTTAACTTAACTCTTTTAACTGTTGGCGTGACTTGGGGCCTTTGGAGATTAGTGCTGAGTTATCAGTAGGTCGGGATTCCAACATGATCCCTCTCCTGCTCTCTTCTACTAATACAATAACAATTATCTCACTTAGTGACGGTATTTTATCTTTGACAAAAATTTAGACTTTACTTGATCAAATTCCAGGTTGAGTTCTGCCAGAAACTGATAGGTCTAATTTTTATCCACAAACTATTTGAGACGGTGTTTATCCTTGCTTCAATCCATTGTAAGACTCTAGTGTTGGTTCAATTCCTATCACCAACGTTTTAACATACTAGAATATTTAGTGACCAACATATTTTCTTACTTCGTAGACCATGTCTTGATTCAAGTCATAAATGTAGGTTGTATCTTTCAACTATCAAAAACCTTGTTCTGATACAGAAGAAATAATCTAGATTGTTTATGTAAATGACATAATAGATAGGTGATGATAACGAAGAAATGGAGAGACTAAAGAAAATTTTGGTCACTGAATTCGAAATCAAGGACCTAGGATCAATGCAATATTTCTTGAGGATGGAGATTGCCAAATCAAAGAGAGAGAGAAGTATTTCTTAGCGAAAATATGTATACTTCTTAGCGAAAATATGTATACGACCTCTTGATTGAAGTCAGTGCTAGGATGCAAATCAGAGACACTAATTGAGGCAGGGAAAAAGATGAAAAATGGTGGAAAATCAATTGAAATGGTAAAGTGGCAGAGATTAGTTGGTGAACTAATCTACTTATCACATACTCCATAAGATATTGTCTTTACAGTCAATGTAGTTAGTTAACATATGCACTCACCATCAGAAACTCATTTAGATGTTGTCTAAGATTTTCTCAAGTCTCTCAAAGGCTCTCCAAAAAAGGGTCTATTCCTCAAGAAGAATGAAACCAAAGAAATAGAAGTGTTCATAGATACGGATTGGACAAATCCAACAAAAGATAGAAGGTATACTACCACATGTTACACGTTTGTCTAACTTGATTACATGAAAGAGTAAGAACTTGATCACATGAACAAATTAATCTATTTATCACATACTCGACCAAATATTGGTTTTGCAGTCAGTGTAGTTAGTTAACACATGCACTCACCATCAGAAACTCACTTAGATGTTGTCTAAGGTTTTCTCAAGTATCTCAAAGGCTCTCCAGAAAATGGTCTATTTTTCAAGAAGAGTGAAACCAAAGGAATATAAGTGTGTATGGATGCAAATTGAGCAAGTCCACCAAAAGATAGAAGGTCTACTATCGGATATTTAATATTTTTCTTGGGGAACTTAGTCATATGAAAGAGTAAGAAACAAAATGTAACGGCGAAAAGTAATGCTGAAGTGGGCTTTGGACTAGTAGCATAGGAAATTTGTGACTATGACAAAAACATTCGGAGGGTTACAAATAAAAGCTGAGTTATCGATAAAACTTTACTATGCTAAA